GATTATCACCTTTTTTGTACCAAATCTTATTGAAAGGATTAACTTCCCGATATTGGGAATGATTCTAACAGTGCTTATGGTAAGTGCTTGAATAGATAGAGCCACAATGACAAGCTAACAATCAGCCGATTCAGCCTGGCTATGGCTTTCCAACAGCCTGGCTGTGGTTAGTGTGCACTGAGCTGAAGTCAAAGCCAAGTCTGACTGACTCTAGATTAACTTGGCTGGTTTCTGACTTTCGAAACCCATTCTCACCTAACTATTCCTTTTAGTGGGTCTCCTTTTTGATCACTTTCTTCCAAAACTTCAACTATGCCTTCATCACTGTTCCTTCAAATCCAATCTATGTCTCATATTGTTCACTTCTTAATCAAAAAGTCTTGAATATCTTTGACGTAATCTCTATCGATTTCCCGGCCAATTTATTGGCTATCGCTCTTTTATTATTTGTTCGATGGTTAACAAAAAGAAGACTAAGGTAATTTTTCTCTAAATTGATCAAAGCATACATTTTTCTCAGTAAATTGTACTAGAATTTTATAATAACTTTATCTGATCTTTAAAAGTTTTCATTTCCTATTCAAAAAACATGTTTTGTAGAAATTAAAGAGAGTTTTTTAGAGAGCATTTGAACGGACAATATCGAGATCTCAATTATCGATATCGACAACAGGAAATGCTTCGAGCGACAAAAGCAATAGTGCTAATATCATTATTCCATTGTGGAAATCATTTTCTAAACATTACTTGGCTCTATGTGACAAGCCGATTGACATGGCCAGATATGGAGACTTATGCTATACACAAGGTGTTGTTCTTTTGCACAGAAAATCAGCAAAGTGTTGAAAGAGAAAAAACTGCATATTCTGGGAGGAATATGTAGTTGTTCCTCTTTCAGAATTCATAGTTTTTCAGTTGGAATTCCGCTTTGCAATTCCCTTTCTTCGTATTAGTTGGAAAATTGACTTCTATTGGGTTGGGGAGAATGAGTCGGCGCCAAACTTTAAAGGGACTTTTTGCACACATAAAGCCTTCTTTAAACATACGTTTGGTTTCATCAAAAGGATCCACTATTTCTCTACAAAATCACTTTTGAGAGATTCCACAAAGCTTTTCTTTCGTGGAGTTTATGAACTTCCAAACGCAGCTGGTTAAAATGGCAAAGAGTCCGACTCATCATTTGAACAGTTTCTTTCACATAAACCTTCTTTGGTGTTTATATAAAAAAAGATAGAGCACATTCAATTACTTAAGTTGCCAAATTTGCAGGAAGATCCCACCAATGGTTTTTTCTAGATGACAGTTTGTAGTTTTTGTGAAAAAATGGCTTTTTCTTGAGCGGAGGCGCTGTTTGAATTTTCTTTTAAATGTCATTTTGTAGAGAATTAGTTAACCATTCTACTGATATCAAACGCATATTATTTGACGAAGTCGAATAGAAGTTTTAGACATTTTTTTCATTTTCGGCGCCGACTCATTCTCCCCAACCCAATAGAAATTACAAAGATCAAAAATCAAATGAAAGAATATCTACTATATATATAAAGGGACGTCTGTCCGCCTGTCCGCCTGTCCGCCTGTCCGCCTGTCCGCCTGTCTGTCTGTCCGTCTCTCTGTCTGTACGCACTACTCCTCCGCGCCTAGTGAGCCCTTTCCAATAATTTATGGTTAATTTAGCTTAGAATTTCATTTAGTTGTGCAACATGTTTTTAAATTTCTAAAAAATCAAAAGTGCCGACGCGGACGGGAGTCGAACCCGGGTGTTGTGGGCTAGAGACAAGTGCGCTCGCACTGCGCCATCTACATGGCCGAGTAGTTAACGCGCGCGTCTTTCAAACGAACGGAAAAGATAGATTGTGGGTTCGCCTCCTCTTGCCGCCAATTCTTTTGCTTTTTGCCCCAAAATTTTTTTCTTCTGGTATATCAATAAAAACGGATTTCAGGAAATCGCCTCCCTCGTTGCTCAGCCAATTTTCATCGTTTTTATGCCTACTCTGTATTTGATATTTTGTAAAGAGCTTCGATCAATGATTCCTTTCATAAAAGAACCCTCAAATCTCTCTTCAATCAATCATCATCAAATCTCTCCTAAAGAACATATGGAAATGATAACGAAAAGTTGGGAGAAAGCTTCAATGACAAAAAAAGTTCCTTCCCATCCCTGGAGAAACAAGATCTCTTCTGTTTTCTTTGCTCGACATTAGCTTTGCAAATAAATTTATTTATTTTGGCAAACATATCCCGCTTATTGTAATCAACTGATTAGAAATATTATTAGCACAAGAATACTCGTCTAGTAGAATAAAAATGCTACAATTTTCAGCGGGTAAACCGGTTTGAGTGCAAAATACGAATTGAAGGCAACTTGAAAGAAATCAGAAAAGAAATGATCGGAAATTTTGTGTAACAAAGCAAAGCTTGATCTTTTCTATTAATTAGGCGGAGTTCTATGTACAAAAAAAATAATGAGATCATTGAAATAAAGTGGCAAGCTCAAAATATTATAAAAGAAAACAAAAAAATCTTAGATTTCTCTGAACTTTGTCTTTCCATTAGCTGATGTTACAGCAACAGCTGGAGCTGATTGTCTTCTTTTCTTTAATCGATCAAATGCACTGTCAGGAGCATCACTGTCATAAAGTGGAGAATTTCGACGAGACCAAGGACTTTTCGCATGAGCCACTAATGAATGCGAATACTTTGAGATAGACATTCTTGCTTTGCGAGAAGCCTCGACTGCCTGAAAATGATTGAGTAAACTTTTTGAGAGAAATAGTTTAGAGAAAAATAGATTGGCTCTTCGTTCTTGGTTCTAGAAAAAGTTATTTGTCATTTGTCTTTGTGCTTTGAGTTATTTGTCAAAACTAGGCTGTTGCTTAGTTTTCTTCTAAATCGAAGGTAATGAGAGTCATAGATAAGTATATAGAGTCATAGATAAGTCATAGATCGAAGGTAGTGAGAGTCATAGATAAGTATATAGAGTCATAGATAAGTCATAGATCGAAGGTAGTAAGAGTCATAGATAAGTACTACAAGTATAAGTATAAGTAAAAAGTAACCTTTTCTCGTATCTCTTCTTGAAGAATGAAATAGCACATGGAGAAGAGAACAACTCCAAGAATCATAAAAACGGCATAGACAAGGATTGTTGTTGGATTTTTTGGGAATACATCACCAAATCCTGAAATTTTCTTTGATACTTGTCAAGTTTGAAAGCTTTTCAAGTTCAATTTCATCCTTTCTACTACTTTTACTCACCTATTAAAGCAACACTGTTAAAGAGAAAATAGACGGAAGTGAAATAATCGAATTCCGTTGTAATCGAGAAGACAGCGGAAGCGGTGAGAATGTAGAGAATGAAGACAATGCAACCAGCTAAGAACACTCTTCTTTGTTCGTCCAGTAAAGCTTTTGAGCCTAAATCAGGAAATTTTATAGAGTTGGAGTTTTCTTATTTACCAAATAATGAACCACTGCTCGATTTGCGTTGGAGTCGATCCAGTTTGACTCCATGCTCTAATAGCGAGATGGGGAGATCGTTTTGATACTAAAATTTGTATTTTTAAGACTTTCAAGATCATAAGCTTAATCTTTTATTTCACTCACATCACTATTTGGCGTTGTTGGAGTAGGCGATAATGGAGTTGGCGATAATTGTGATGTGCAAGATGGATTTGGAGACATTGGTATTGTCAGACAATTCCTCGTGTGTCCATTTTGATAGGTGGGGATTGGAGATGGAGCTTTGGAGGTGGTTGATGGAGTTGATACTAAAATAGATCCACATAAAATAAGACTAGGACAGAGTAAAAGTTGCGCGCCGCTGAGGCTCGAACCTGTGACCTTTCGCTTCCTGGGTAATTGCGCTAACCATTACACCAGAGCCCACTCGTCCTTCTTTACTCCAGAGGGAGTTAATTTCCCTCCTCTCTGGACGAGACGGTTCCACACGTCTCGATTTATAACGTCTGGGGTGCGCTCGAAACTAGGTAGACCTAGGTAGACTAGGTAGACCTAGGTAGACTAGGTAGACCTTAGCCGCATTGCAGAGCCTATCCTTCCGCGGTCTCCAGTTGGAACTAGGGCAGATCAAAGGTCGTGCACCGCCAGGACTCGAACCCGCCTTTCGCTTACCGAACAACTGTGCTAACTATTATACGACAACATTATACGATCTCTCTTACTCCAAAGGGAGTTAACTAGAGAAGTAAAGTTTACATTTATCAACATCAGAGTACGGGCATCTGCATCTCTTTCTGGCTTTTCGGACCCGGTTGTAGATTGAGATGAAAATCGTTCTGCACAGGTTACCCTCTTCCTGAAAATTTTTTTCAGATCTTTATCTGGACGATCAATAGCTTTGTAATTCAATTTCACGTTTAGTATCAATAAAACAAGTAATCTGTACCTTGACAAAAGCAAAAAAGAGTGGAATCCCCAATGCTCCATAAATAATGGTTGCTAATCGACATTTCGTCGTATCAGCCGCCATATTCCCATAACCAATTGTCGTGTAGACACTGAAGGCGTAAACAAGAGCATTCGTGAAATCACTCATCGAATGAGTCATCGTCCGGTTGTGAGTATGCCAACTAAAGTGCAAGAAATAATATATGGCTGAAATAAATATGACAAAAATTACTCTATTGTACCAGACAGGATGTTTATTTTAAACTCAATTTGATTAAATGTATATTATCCAATACAATTACCGTAAATACTGTAATAGTACCCCACCCCCATAATGACGGTGCGAAGTGTTGCGTAGTCTAGCTTTGAACGAGTTTTTCTCGACACTTGTTTCTGCTACAATGCGCGCTTAGGTATCAAAAAAATAGCTGAAATTCAGGGCTATTTTTTGATACCAAAGACACATTTTTTGAAAGTATGGGCGCTTTGAAAAAAATGAAATACTAAAAAACTTTTGCGACTACGCGACTGTACGAGGGGGGTGGGATACTATTACAGTATTTAAGGTAGTTGATTTTTCCAATTACTCACTCTCTATAGCATTTCTCCACTTCACCGAGAAGTCTCCTCATTTCACCAAAACAATTCCCTCCTTGCTCACATATCCTTTCCACATCCGCTAATTTCTCAACTCGCTCTTCCTGAAAGATATCTCTTAATTTTTCAATAGAATCATCACTCACTTGACATCTTCCTTGATATTCTTTCAATAGTCGATCATCATGTTCTCCATCAAGAGCCTAGAAACTTTGGTTAGATAAAAAAGAGATTAATTTGTACCTGGAAAACAACAGCTCCAAGAATTGTATAGAAAGGAAGAGCGAATGCATAGAACAAATGGAAGAGTCGAGTTCTTCTCAACTGGGAACTTGTCCTAAAACTTCTTTGTTTTTACAAGACTCTATTCTTTAAAAGCACAAAACTTAAAGGAATTTTTGTAAAACTGAGTGCAGTACCACGAAAAGCGGTGTTTTTCCCAACCAATCGGCGGCTTTTCATAAAAGGAACAGTACGTAATGACTGATTCCTTTCTGTTAGTAGATCGATTTGATCAAAAAGCTTGTGATCATTCATTACCTTTGTATAGTTTTCCCAACATTGTGCAGAAGTAGATGTGTTCGTCCCTCAGATCGGAGACTTTCCCTGCTCGCTTCTCGTTTTATCGGAAGCATCCGAACACGAGATACACGATCGTTTGCTTTAGCACAGTGATCGATCTAAAACTTTAAATTATTGACCAATCCAGTAGTTAATTATCCAATTGAAAACATAAATCAACAGCTATTCTTTATTAGTCACTTGTTAACACTTGTTAACTAATGGTTTAGACATTTATTGAACTAATTTAGAACCTTTAATCAAGGCTAAATGTCAACCAATCTCTAGAGATTTCAAGAATGAAATGAAACGATAAAAATAGATAAAACAATTTAACTAACCTTACAACTGAATCCCATTACTTTCTTTTAGTTCAAATTTTAGACCAATAGACAATTCTGCGTCAAGACCAATTCCGGAATGAGATTTTGTGCAATAAGGGTTTCAAATTCAAATTTCATCGCCTTTTTTTAACTATGAGAAAATGAGATTTCCCGGGTAAACAAGAAGATTTTCAATCTTTGAAAAGGGGAGAGTTGGAAAAGATTTCTGGAAATGCTGAACTGAATGATGAGTGCTTTGTGAAGAATTTCTAATAATAACTGATCCTATAAAACCAAAAATAGATTCAATAGAGAATTTTGTGGTTTCAACCCCCGAAACGTGACGATAAGGGTTTTAAATTTCCGATCAACAACATCCAAACTCAAATGTAGTTCTTGCCTAATTCTTGTCAAGAGGAGTAGGAGTATAATTTTAGGACACTAGTTTCGTTTTATTAATCTTAAAACATGTTGAACTGGTACAGAGACATACCGTAAATACTGTAATAGTACCCCACCCCCTTCGTACAGTCGCGTAGTCGCAAAAGTTTTTTAGTATTTCATTGTTTTTCAAAGCACCCGTGCTTCCAAAAAATACGTTTTTGGTATCAAAAAAATAGCCCTGAAATTCAGGGCTATTTTTTGATATCTAAACGAGCATTTTAGCATAAACCAGTGTCGAGAAAAACTCGTTCAAAGCTAGACTACGCCACGCTCCGCACCGTCATTATGGGGGTGGGGTACTATTACAGTATTTACGGTAAATTAAAATCAATAGCCTCAAAAAAACTGATTACTAGAGTTGAGACAAGTCCTACACTGAAGTTTCATCGAACATGAGATCAACTTCTTTTAGCGAATGGCTGGCTAACAAGCTCCGGTCAAAACCCAACTTGTTCAGGAAAAAGAAGACCCAAATTGATTACTCAAAGAAAACTATCTAATTTATTGAAGAACAAGATAATGAGGAAGGGATTGAGTGAATAGAGGGGAAGGGTCTTGTCGATCTCTCTCCTCAATCCTTTCCCTCTTCCCCAGGGATTCCCTCATTGAGAACATAAAGAAAATGTTTCCATTCCTTCTTATTTTAATGTTTATTTCGAAAGAAAATTACTGCTTTAATCAGATTTTTACGAGACGCCAAAGAAAAAAAAAGAAAAACTTTTTTTGAAAACGAAAATCACATGTTAGTTCGAGGAAAGTTTCAATGGGTATTTGGGGAGAACGAGTAAAAACTTTTTTTGATCAAAGGTGAAGATTTTAGTGATTTTTTTGAATTCGATTTGTCATTTTCAAAAAGATTTGAGAAAATTCATTATGGTTTTGATAAACAAAGAATGGGATAAGGAAATTTAGACACTCACACATTGCATAAAAGCCTTTGATTGAACCAATTCAAATTTTCTTGTTGAGATTGAATTTGTGGTTGTAATTTATTGAGAATAATAGAAGGATTAGTAGGGAAACGTTTCAAAAACGCCAAATTAAAGCTATTGAAAAAAAATGAAAAAGGATTTAACGGGCGGATTTTCTCAGAAAGCGATCAAACGTCAAAGATTTAGCATTTTAAGAGATTTGAAATAAAGGTGAAGGTGAAAGAAATTGAGTAAAGATGAACTAGTTCAAGGAATATAAGATATAGCTTCAATCCCTGACCTTCAATGTAAATTCTATATAACTATTCTAAGGTTTTTTTGTCACTTATCAAAAAAAGGCAAACAATTTCCTATTTCAAGAAAAAAATGCAAATCCAGGGTGACGAAATTGAAGGTTTTCGCAAGATTGAGAGATAGAAAAATGCTTTTTCCGAAAATTGGATGTGTACTCTTCTGTTCTGTGTTCTCTCAAGTCAATTTGCATGTTCGAGATTAGAGTCCTTCAAGGAAAATCGAGGATGAACGGGCGAATTTTGGGAATCGAAAGGGGAAACGGGTACGATGATGATTTGTAGTCTTTCTGAAATGGGAAAAACTTGGACTCCTCATCAACTTGCATATCTGGGAACTGAACCAAAACAAGTGTGCCTCATTTGCATGAGAGTGGGAAGATCGAAAGTTCAGAGAAACTGGAGAAGTTGAATGTTCATTGGGCAAAGCCAGGCGCAAAAAAAGTTCTGTAAAAGTTAAATCAAAAATTTTCAAACTTCAATCAGAACAAGTACTTTTTTAGCTATAAATTTCAAGAAAAGCTAAAGCTTAAAATTATAGGGTTTAGGGTAAAGGCTCGAGAAAACTGAGAAAACTTCAAAATAAAAGTAAACAGAGCCTCATCCTAGACTTCCTTGACCAATCTCAATCTTTGCTCTCATAAATCCGATAAACCATTGACTCATCAATTTAAATTGCGGTCAAAAACGTAGAAGAAAAAGAAAAACGAACGCCCTCGTCTATTTTTTAAAATTGAAAGATGATGAGTGGGGTAAAATTGAGCTAAACAAACTCAACGCAAGCAATTAGATCGAAGCGGTGAGCTGGCACCGAACAACTCCATTCAAAAGTGCTCTAATCTTGAAATCTCATTTGAAATTATTAAAGTTCAGCGCTAGAGGTTATTGATTAAAAGGAATTTGATAAAAATCAAGTTTTCAAGCTACTGCATTGAGTTGAAGCTTTTTTGAATATCTCAAGGATTGCAACACCACTCAAAGTATCAAACGTTTTATATCTACGTAAAAAATCCTATTTAGATATAAAACCTAAAAATCTTTTTCACCATTCGTATAAACAAGTCAACAAAAAATGGGTACTGTAAATAATAGTACCCAGTCGTAGGTATAGTAATAGATAGATATATAAATAATAGTACCCAATCTATAAAAACCTCTACGAAGAAATTGGCCGAATGAATTTCTCTGAAAATTTCGCTATTTACCAAACTTCTTGTGCTCTATTTTTTATCTATTGACACTAAGATAGGTTTCCATTAGCTAAAGTGTCTAAATTGGATCATCGAGTCGCATTTTTGACTATCCGACTTCACGCTCCCAAAAAAATCAGACATAAGACCCGTTTTAATGTTATTTTGCAGAAAAATGATTGACCTTTCTAGTGAAACAAACCGTAGTTCAATTGGTGCATTTATTGGTTCTTAAACGGAAGTACGAAAAGGAACAAAAAGACTTTCGGAACAGCTTAATGCTGTAAAGTTTTATAAACAGTATTCAGGCTTTAATTTTGGAACAAAGTAAGGTACCTGAGTTGAGTTTTTTGTATGGACACAACATAGTTGTCGACTTTTATTGCCTGTAAAAACGATGCTAGAACTAGAACTGTAAAGTCTACTATATATAAAAGTACAGTCGCGTAGTCGCAAAAGTTTTTTAGTATTTCATTTTTTTCAAAGCGCCCGTTCTTTCAAAAAAATACGTTTTTGGTATCAAAAAAATAGCTGAAATTCAGGGCTATTTTTTGATATCTAAACGAGCATTTTAGCATAAACCAGTGTCGAGAAAAACTCGTTCAAAGCTAGACTACGCAACACTCCGCCCCGTCATTATGGGGATGGGGGTACTATTACAGTATTTACGGTATGTAGATCTAGACTAATCCTGATCATAGACAACAAGCAATCAAAGATGCTAAGGAGAATTCGTCAAGCAAAAGATATGTCTTATGACTAAAAAAATCAAAATCCTTGCAAATTGATTGTACAAAACATAATCAAAATTGAAATATTGCACCCCGCTGTGAACCACGCGTGGTTTTGGAAGATTACATTGTTAAAATAATCCCAGACCCCATCCGCGTCAATATCGTAAAAAAACTATTTACGATACAAATGAAAAGTAAAAATTTGTTAGTCTTTTGTTGAATAGACTAGTAATTAGAGAGGGATAAGAGGGATTCTTTTGATTAGGCTTTTCGAGGCTAAAAATAGTTACCACATCGCTGGAAATAGATGAAAAAGGGGGAAAAGAGGCGAAGAAAGCCTCGTGTTTCTGTGTTCACTGACTAATGAAATCGGCGAGTAAATTGGTTTATCGAAACAAATACTACCAATGAATTTGGATCTCAGAAATCTCAGAAATCTGACTGAGAAGCTGATGAAATGGAACTGGGAATTGGTTTTCAAGTCTAAGGTACATTTTTAGAGCTGTAATATAGAAATTTCAATAACAACAGAATCATTTTGTTTTAAGAACTAAAATTTCAAGCTTGTTGTTTAGAGAAAGGTTCAGGAATAAGCAAAATTGAGGATGTTCCTTAAATTTTACTTTCAAATTGTGTATTCCACCAAAAGGTTAAAGCCTCAGTCAGTCGTTTAGTTAGTTATTTCCATTTTTAAGAATATTTTGTTATCCTTTTGTTATTTTCTCCATTATCTCATCTCTATTTTTATCGTTTTTCAAATTCTTGTATCTATTTTCAGCAAAATGCAAGACGGAAACGCCAAAAATTGTTTACATCAGAAAAAGAGAGACAAAGCAATTGTGATGATGATGAAATGAGGGAAAAAATGGAAAAGATTAAGTTCAAATCTATTGTTTCCGATTGAAATGTGAATGGATTTGATGAGGAAAACAGCACCTGCACATCACTGACCCTTGAAAAGGGAAAGGTTGGGAGAAAAGTCTTCTTTCAACTTTCAATCAAAACATCTATTACTTTTCGAGACCAAGCTTGAGAAAACAAAGAAAAAGCGAAAAAGAAAAAAGAAAACGAAAGCCTAAACGGAAAATCAGGATGTTTTTAGAAGAGGATTCAAAAGGAAAAGGTGGAGAATTTTTGAGATGTGGAAAGATGGAAGGACAAAGAACAGAAATTAGCGTCAAAAGTATTAGAGAAAGTAAAGCGCAAATGTTTCTTTAGATATTTTACAAGTGTTGCATTCAATGCAGACAAAATTAAAGTATTTTTCAGCTAATACTTGAATAGACAATTTTGATCCAGAAAATTTCAACTTCTAGTTTAAAAGAACTAAACTAAAGGATCAGCTTCGAGATTATTTGATTAAAAGAATGGAGATTATACAGGAATTCTTGTTTTATTTCACATTTCACAGTTTAATACATAAAAATGTGGGTCATTTGATAAATTTCTTCATCTAACATCTCTTTCTATTAAATTTTATCTTATGCAAATAGTCTTAAAGCAGTTAGAAGCTTGTAATTTCATTCAAAGTTTAACTGAAGGTGCGTAGATTGATCGATTGATTATCGAGAATTTTTCTATTAGTAAGAGAGGTTAAAAAACTTCAGTCATGGTTACAAATGGAGTCATAATATCGACTCTATCTTAAAACTTATCCAGGATTGTGATAACTTTATAACTGCCAACTGTTATATTTTTTGTGACAATCTATAAAATTTCGATAGTCTCAGGAATGCTTGTTTTATTTCACATAACGTCAAAAATTTTAACTTATTAGAGCATTCGGATCTTACGAAATAACGGGCGGGGGGCACTCTTTTTCAAGTGGTATTTTAGGAGTTTTTGTTGATACTTTGATAACTAATTTTTCTGAAAGCCGATGTTCAAGCTATCTAAATCTTGTTAAAACTTTACGATCTGACAAGTGCAGGATGCCTATAAATGAGCTGCAAGTTGGTACAGAAAAGTGCCGTCCCCCTGTTATTAAGTAAGATCCGAACATTCGATTTAGAGAACATTCGTTTAGGAACTTCCATTTTTTCACTCGTCAAACTTCCTTTTGGTCTTACGGGCCGGGGCCGGTCTTCGAAATAACGGGCGGGGGGCACTCTTTTTCAAGTTATGTTTTAATATTTTAGTGAAGTTTTTTGTTGATAACTTTTGATAAAACTAATATTTTCTGAACGCCGATGTTCTAAGCTATCTAAATCTTGTTCTAATCTAAATCTAAAAACTTTACGATCTGACAAAATTCAACTACTTAATAGAATAAAATTCTGGCAAGAACACCTCTCAAATATCATTTGGTTGACCTTGAGAATATCACAAGCATTCTCCAGAAACCCACTTGTCTCTTGGTAAAAAAAATAGCGGAAAAAAAAACCCGAAAAAGAAACGTTCAAATTGGTCACCTAAACAACCCATTCAAGCAGAGAACTTTTAACGCCAAAAACATTAACGTTTCCCTTTTTAGAGGAAAGTTCCAAAATGAAAACAAATCAAAAACAAATCAAAAACCTTTCGTTTACCAGAAAATTGTCCTCTTTGTCTTCCTAAACTAACAATTGTCCTAGAAAACCGCAAAAAAAGCGGAAAACAAGTCGAAAATTTGATTGATGGATTTGAACTCTTTTGGTCATCAGCGAAAAGTGATAATCTTGGTGCTTGTTTTAAAGAAAAACTGAACATATGACAAGATAAACAGAGTTGAAATCAAGAATAAATAGGAAATGAGAAAAGAAAGGAATTGAAGAATTAAGGTAAGGACTTTAAAGGTCAAGAGATTAGAATAATGAGTGTACTTTGGGAAGAGATGGAGAGATGAATTGAAGAGATTCGGAGGACATTCAAGAGTTCGTTCAAAGTACATCGATTTTCATTGTTTTGCTGTTGATTTTCTTTTGCTAGAGGCTTTGAAGTTCTCGTTCTTGATGTGGAAACAAGTTTATCTGGCTAGTTTCCAGTTTTTGAAATCTTTTCTGGATTTTTTTAGATTTTGAATGGATAAATGGTTCAAAAATGCCAGCTCATTGTCGGGTTTTAGAAACAAAACCTTTACAGAACTTTTTTTGGGCTTAGCTTTGCCCAATGAACATCCAACTTCCCCAATTTCTCTGAACTTTCGATCTTCCCACTCTCATGCAAATGAGGCACACTTGTTTTGGTTCAGTTCCCAGATATGTAAGTTGATGAGGAGTCCAAGTTTTTCCCATTTCAGAAAGAAAGAAAGAAACAAAACAAACAAAACAAACTTGTTAAACTTAGAAACATACAGTCGAACCTCTCTATAACGTAACTCACGGGACGGCTATAGCTTACGTTATATAGAGGTTTACGTTATATAGAGTACCGTTTTATATAGCTTAACGTCAGCCGGGACCGGTCACGCCTTACGTTATATAGAGGTTTACGTTATATCGAGTTTTGTTATAGAGAGGTTCGACTGTATATAAAAATATCAAAATTCAATACCTAAATCTAGTCTAGTGAAAACAGACTAATAGCTGAACAGGATTTGCTGATGTTTCTAAAAAATAGAATCAATTATTCAAGGTAATAACAATTCTAGAGTTGAGGATTCTCTGAACAAGAACAAGAACAAGATCTCTAGAACAAGATCTTTAGAACAAGATCTCTAGAACAAGATCTCTAAAACAAGATCTCTAAAACAAGATCTCTAGAACCAGATCTCTAGAACAAGATCTCTAGAACAAGATCTCTAGAACAAGAACAAGAACAAGATCTCTAGAACAAGATTTCATAACTTTTAAACATTGGGCTAGCAAGAACATTGGACTTTTGAAAAAATGGTTCACGAGTTTCAGAGTTGGTGAATCAAAAGACTTAAAAGTTTTAAAGAACATTGAAACAAAACTCTTATTCTCTTCAATCATTTTGTCAAAGATTTTCTAAAAATTTCTAAAAATATGTTCATTGAGTGGAAAAAGGGAAAAAGTCTCGTGGATTTATCTGAAATGGGAGAACCTTGTTGTTTCAAGAGATTTCCAGCAAAACTCTTGTGTAAATTTCCTTAAAACAAACCATAAATATTTGGTTTTAAAGAATTTGGAAATTTTTTTTTATTAGAAATTTTTTGTTTCAAAACAAATGAAGCTTGATAAGTTGAAAATTGAGGAAATCGAGGAAAACAGATCTTTAAAGGAAAGAAAAATGAACACTCTGATTAGAGTAAGATTGAATGGTGAAAGAGAAGGGGAAATCCCGAAAAAACAGCTGTCATTTACACGCTATGTTGTTCACAAAAGAGTTTAGAGTAATTGGGACCTGCTGTGTTGGACATTTCATCTCTTTGCACAGCTCAAAGGCTAGAAATTAGTCTAGACATAAAACTTGTGAAGAGTTAAAACTGTACAGTCGGTTTATCTAGATTTTTCTTAGTAATTCTAATCAATCTTTGATCAATGAAGCTTTAAAAGCTTATTAAAACAATGGCTTTAAAAGAATTGCTCATTATCTCTCTAGCTATTTGCTCAAGAAATAGTATTTAAGTCAGAATGCATAAAACTGGAAAAAGTTGAAATTCCTTGTCTACCTAAGATTTCCAGATTTTTCATATAAACAAATCATGAACAAATCTGAAATTCTAGTAGCTCAACAAAGGGAGTAAAGTACACGAAATGAAATTTGAGAAGAATATAGTTGAAATGAAAAATAGGAACATGTATTTCAATAAAAATAAGAAAATACTATAGGAAGGCTATGAAAATTGGAATGGAATTGGTGCTAGGGTGTTCTTGATGAGACCACGAACAAAAGTCGATAAGGGAAAGGGGTGGGTGACCATTTGAAAGAAGGGAAAGGGGGAATGGATTGAGCTGGATGAATGACCACTATAGAGAGCTTTGAAACTGAAGTTTGGTATGGTCAAGCTTGGTTTGGTCAAGCTTGATTTTTATTTGCATTCTTCATTGTTATCGATCATTGTTCACTCTCAATAAGAACAAGAATAGCAGCTGTAACCCCAATTTCAAGCTTTAAGCAGCAGCTGTAAAGCAGCTTCAAGCAGTAGCTGTAAAGCAGCTGTAAGCAGTAGCTGTAAAGCAGCTGTGAGCAGCTGTAACCCCGATTTCTGTAACCCCAATTACATCAAGTACGAACGACAAAGCCACTTCGTGACTCAACCAGAACAAAGCCCAGCTTTAGCAAAACATTTCCAAAGTGTATGAATTTCAAAATAACACTATATCCATTCAAAGTTTATGTATAGTCCCTAGGGGAATTGTGACGAGGAGAGCTTTGCTGGAGAAGACTTTGTCTCTCTCAACGGTGGGAATGTGAAGATGGACAGATCTCCCTCCAAAGAGAATTCGAATATGTTCAGAAAAGAGAAAAAGCTTTTCGTTGGGTTCAGTTTGCCGAAAAACTGAATCTTCGATTCCAAAGCTCAATGGGAAACAAATGTATAGCTTTCAAGATTTTGATACGTTTGAGGGACTCAGTAATAGCTTTGAAATTACAAAATGTAAGTGATCTTAAAAGTTTAACAAATTTTAAACCTCACCGGTATATCGCCAATTGGAGAATCACCAAAAGAGTCTCGATTTGTCAACATGTCCAAGTCCAATTCTTGCTCATCAGAATCGCTTGCTGATGGAGTGGGTGAATGCACGATACATGATGGAACACGATGATGGCCATCTGTTGATCTGTAATCATTTATGTAGAGAAGTCTCGAGGATTGTTTTATGATCAGATAAACAAGTCATTTCTTGTTTTTTAAATGGGTGTTTATGTATGAACGAGAAGGGGAAAATGACATAAATAATCGGTCTTGATGATTGATTGTCAAAATTCTTTCATTTCCAAATGTCTATGTTGAGATCTTTGACTCAAGTCTGGTTTATCCAAATGGAATCCAATCTTCAAACGAGGAAACTTTGAGGGTAAAATGATCTAAGGGTAATAAGTTCACCTTGGAATGGAATTGGTGCTAGGGTGTCCTTGATGAGACCACGAACAAAAGTCGATAAGGGAAAGGGGTGGGTGACCATTTGAAAGAAGGGAAAGGGGGAATCGATTGAGCTGGATGAATGACCACTATAGAGAGCTTTGAAATTGGAGTTTGGTTTGGTCAAGCTTGGTTTGGTCAAGCTTGATTTTTATTTGATGAACGAGAAGGGGAAAATGACATAAATAATCGGTCTTGATGATTGATTGTCAAAATTCTTTCATTTCCAAATGTCTATGTTGAGATCTTTGACTCAAGTCTGGTTTATCCAAATGGAATCCAATCTTTAATGAAGAAACTTTGAGAGTAAAATGATCTAAGGATAATAAGTTCACCTTTTCTTGACTTCAATCTTGACTATTGAAAAATCAAAGTCAAAACGTTATGTTTCTAATGCTTTAATCTGAATTTGAACCAATTTTCACTAAAAAAAAATAATATAATTTTTTTTTTTTTTTTTTTTTTTTTGTATAAAATTAAATAAAAAAAAAAAAAAAAAAAAAAAACAAAAAAAACAAAAAAAAACCCCAACCCCAAATATAATAAAAATAATTTAAAAAAAAAAAAAAAATAAATTTCCCCCCCCCCCCCCCCCCCCCCCCCCCAACCCCCCAAAAAAAAAAAAAAAAAAAAACCCAAAAATTAAAAAAAAAAAAGCCTATGGGATAGATTTTTGGACGCTGATTTCAAATCTGCAAACAGATTTTCGCTAGCTCCTCCCAATCGCGAAATATTGGCGAGTTTTGGTTAGTTTTGGTTTTGGTTTTGGTTAGTTTTGGTTTTGGTTTTGGTTAAGTTTTGTTTTCCGAAGTCTAGATTAAAGTAAATTGGTTTATTAATAATTTATTGCGAATTAAAGGATGAAATCGACTTTACAAGCCGTTTCAGCCTAATGAAAAGACCCATATTTTGTCAAAAGACTTGCAGAGTTGTTTACTGGATAGTTTTGAACTGAAATGTTGATTACTTGTTGATTACTTGATTCAAGTACTTACCCAATTCTAGTTTGCCTTAAAATTGATGGATGAGAGGTTGTTCGGAATTGGCATTGATTGAGCGAGGGATCCGAGCGGCTTTGTTGAGCAATGAGAACGCCGTGGCGCATTGTCATTACGCTAAATATCGGTTTATTTGAAATGATTCAATTTGTTCAAAGAGACTAAAGCAAAATTTATGAATTCTTGAATGTTTGCAAGAGAAAACGCATAAGAAATTGTCAATTACGAATTCGTTTTTTTATAGTTTTACATTAGCTTTCGTTAGTAACACTTTGTGACTTCCTGAAATCGAAATCACAAAAAGAGATGCGACTGGCCGCTAATTAAGTCAAAACAGATTTAAAAAAAAAAGAAATAGAAATGAGGTTTTGAGAGAATGAAGGAAAAAGAAGGGAAATGGGAGAATAGCATCAGTTCGCCCACAAAGAGTAGTACACAACAAATGAGAAAACAATCTGAAAGTCAATTCGAGGATTTCAGAAAAAGCATCGTCATTTCAGTTTTTGTGGATGGAAATGTCTTGTTTCCAGAAAGAAATTCTTTGACTTTCAGTTGATCTAACTAACTTCCTGGCAAAGTTCTGAGAAAAAAAGGGTCAACACGCAATCTGGAAGGGTTTGAGTTGAAGATGTTGGAAAGTTTCTTGATTTAGAAACTGAATTTTTCCGTGTTGAAATATTTAACAAAAAACAGGAGATGATGGGGATTTGGCTATTAAAAGCCGATCATAGCTTTACGATTTTTAATTTTAAGAATCGTTAGAGCAACATATCGATTTTATACTCTTGCAGTAGTTCTTCTAGACTTCAGCTGTGTGTTTTATGGCTACTTTTTCAAGTTAGTCAAGTTTGCTAGTTTTTATGAATGAGCGTCCACATGTGGCTGATTTGTGTGGTTTTTTTTAGGAAGTTTGGTCTTTCGGAGTGAAATAGTCTAGGTCAAAAAGAGGGGTCAAAGATGTTATTTTAAAGATTCTATGAATGAATAGTTCAATGAAAGGAAAGATCATGGAAAGGATTTAAAATTGAATTTTAATAAAAATCTGAGATTGAAAGAACTCAAAGCCTTGGCTAAATTTAAAGGTGGGCCATCAACTTTAATTGAGATTCATTTACAAAGCATGTGGGTGGCCTGGAATGTAAAGTCTTTCTAGTGACGTGGGTGTTTGGATGAAAGAGAAAAGAATGACTAATATAAAGAAATAAAAATCTTCACCCAGACAACCTGGATCCAATCTTATGCCACATGTGGTTCCGGTCATGCACCGGTCATCCGAAGTAGTCATGAGGGATATCGTAGCCGGATGTAGACATGCTTTTGAGTTCTACTTTGTAGCTTTAGTTCTACTTTGTAGCTTTAGTTCTACTTTGTAGCTTTAGCTCTACTTTGTAGCTGAATATCTTGAGTTATTAGCTTTAAGATAGTTGAGTGATGAAACGTACAGAGTACAATCTTGAAAAGTTGCCTTAAAACTGTTTAATAACTCTGAACTTCTCAATGAAAGCATCTAATCAAATGCCACAAGGAAATAAACAACCTTGAACAGCTATTAAATTTGCAGAATTCTTTAGAACTTTGGCTTTTAATTTTTAAGAATAATAATAACGTTTAAAGCCGAAATTGAATTTTTGTTCCCTGCTTTTTTTTCTTCACTTTTCGCAATTACTTCAATGAAAAGCAATTTGCACTGCCGGAGAGAAATGAGATCAAATGGACTACAAAATTTTAGGAAAAAAAAAGAAAGAATTTGGATTCCGGAAATGGTGGAAAAAAAAGGTTCAATTAAATTGAACAGGTAATGAAATCAAAATGAATTATTATGCACAAACATTGAATTGAAAGGGTGAGGGAAAAAGGAAACAAAGCGAGTTGTGCAGTAAGAGATCAAAAGACATATAAAAAGTTGTTAAAGTTCAAAGTGCTAAGGTAATGTCGTTGTAATGTCGTTTTTTAGAACACCGAATCTTTTTCTTGTAGAGTTATCATCAAAAACTTATCAGCATTGAATTTCCAAGGCTTTTTGGAAATACCAATCCTCCAGTCAGCTTCAGAGCCTCATGAAAACCATAATCTTAAGCTCTGAGCTGAAGCTCCTCAAAAGTTCACTCTTATTAGCAATGCATAACATTTCAAATGCTAAAGAAAAGGAAAGTGTTCGTATAACAGTAGTTTCCATAAAGAAGGCAATAACTTTAGAAGTGGCTATGATCTCTTTCACTTTTTTGAGATGTTCTCCGGCTTGATGAAATGCATATGGGATGAGTGAGGGATGTGGAATGGGAAAGGAAGAGGAAAAGGAGAAGATGCGGAAAGGATATGGAAAGAGATCCGATCTGAATGAGTTTTCACTCTATGAACAGAGAAAATGATAACAACATTATTTTGATGCACCCGGAAGCATTTTGGAAAGAGGCAGTCGAAGGGAAAACCAGAAATGAGACTAATTAGTACCTCATGAATGATTTAAAAAGTTCACTTGAGATGGAAAAATCGTAGAACTGGATAGAAAAAGCTTGCAAGTCATGGTAACCTAGTCCAAAGTCCAAAGATGTCCAAAGGTTCAAAGATGTCCAAAGGTTCAAAGATATGGTAGTCCAAAGATATGGTAGTCCAAAGATGGACCGATTCTTAATGTACTTGTAAACGGTTCTGCATAATCTACTTTTTAATGTACTTGTAAGGTGGACAATTAATGTAAACAGATCGAAAATCGTAATATAGTATTCATGAGAAAATAAGATGCTTTGAAATGTGAAATTAATTGTTGTTCAGCTTCCGAAGCGGCAAAGTATAAAGAATAAAGTAAAAAGGAGAAAGATAGTGAAATAGAGAATCTCAAGGGAAAGGTCGGAGAAAATAAAAGCTAGGAAAAAGAGAAGGAATAGCTAAAGAGGTCGTCTCTTCTGCCCACCAAATAATCGGATCGAATGGCGGTCTTTCGAGTGGCCCTTGGGGAGGAAGAGATCTCCAGTTCTTTATATTGTTGCTGTTGCAAGCGGTCAAGAGAGCCATATTGGAATAGAAACACCAGAATCTACACAAAAAAACAGATTGACAATAAGGTTTTTTACAGAAAAATCGGTTATATTGAGCTGAATGGAAACCCAGATTTATTCAACCAAAAATTCTGTCGAAAATTCGAAAATTTCTAGGTTGCTCTCTCTTTAGTTGAACATTAATATAATATTGGACTGGTGAATTGAAAACTGCCGGTTATTGTCATATGTGACAGTTTAAGCACTTTCTTCAAAAGAAACCCATTTTGGTGTCAATGGAAAAGTTGTAGAGAATCAAAAATCAAGCTTATATCCAAATTTTCAGAACGATTCAAAAACTGGTTTTCAAGAAATGCCAAATTTACGAATTTTCACAAAACTTGCATTTTAAGTAAAACTACTAAGTGTATCTTTTTAGAAATTTGGCTATAAGCCTAATTTTTGATTCTCTACAACTTTTCTTTTGACACCAAGATGGGTTTCTTTTGAAGAAAGTGCTCAAACTGCGACTTCTCCAGTCCTCCATTTTTGAGTCTCGCACTTGTCTCACACACAAACCAAAATCCTACTACGAAAGAGGAATCCGCAAATTGCCTGTAAAATTGGCAGAAGTCGTCAATAATAATGGAAATTATTTGGAATGAATTTATGGTTTTATGTTGAATAAATTTTAGTTCAAAGTCCCGCAGTTTTCAATTCACCAACCCAATAAAAAAGATTCAATTTGAATGCTATAAAATTTCTCATAGTATAGTGGGAAATTCACGTCAGAACGAGAAAAGAAAAACGTGGACATGAACAAGAAAATGAATTCGAGCTAATGAGATGATGGTACAACTGAATTCAGCTATTATAATCTGAAAAGAGGAATCATTAGAGCATCTATCCAAAACAATGAATGCTAGTGAACAAAGCACAATCTCAAACAAAAAAATCTTGTAAAGGGAAACTATTTTGTAGCAGTAATTCTGGGAAACATTGAAGAGTTCAACAATTCACATTTCTCATTGTGAACCACATTTTTCAAGTGATTACCTTGAAATCTTATCTGTTGGTCCTCATTAACTTCATTGATTTACTGACTGAAAACACGAATCATTGAAATACCAGCGGAAAATGCTCACTTCGTTCGGCTTTTCCCCTTGAAAGGTGGGGAACTCAATTTAGATGTTAAACCTTGCTCCCTTTTTGAAAAATGGACCTAAAAGTCAGATTCCTCATAGCTGAAAACGTCCGAGAGCAAAATATCGCGCGCAAAAGCTGAATACTTTGCCTTTTAACCGATGGAGCAAACGTAATTACGGAGCATCGCGTTTGCGCACAGACGGACGGACAGACAGACGTCTTTTCTGCTTTATATATAGTAGGTTACAGATTCGATAAACTCGAGCTTTTTATAGTCTCATTCATGTTTGTGTTGATTATTCCATACGGTTTGGGGTTTGGGTCAACGATGAGTCCTTTCTTTATCCCTTCCTTTTTCCTTGAAGATCATTGAATCATTGAAACACGGGCACAAAGGATAAAGTGAAAAGGAACTAACCATAGAACCAAAGCTTTGGCCAGTCTTTGCTTTTCAAACCCAAGAAATTGTGATTAGAGTTAGAATAACGATTTTTCAGTGATGACAAGCTGTTCAATAAGAAGTTGAGTCGAGTTTTATGCACCTATTCAAAATTTTATTCAAATAAGCACAGATTTTTGCTTTTATAATTAATCTATTCTCTAGGGATAGCTAATTTCGCTCTAATTTTATAAAGCAATGCCATCTTTTTTGTAGTGTTTTCTTTCAAAACGATTATCAAACATTGAAGATTGAATAAACATGCGTAAATGGTTTAAAAATCAGATTCAAAGCAATTCCAACTTCTCGACATTCTATTCTGTTTCTGTTTTTAGTTTTGTGGGTTTCGATTCTCGAAAATTGACTAGTAATTTGTTGAAATGCAAGCGACAGAAAAGAAGTTTTGTTAAATGGGAATCGAACGGAATCATCATTCTATTCTGTTTCTGTTTTTAGATTGGTGTGTTTCGATTCTCGAAAATTGATTCTTTTGTTAAATGGGAATCGAAGGGCTGAATTTTCTCCTTTTTAGCTTTCAAAGACACCAAGACATGTGTAAAGAAGTGAAATCGAAAACTTCAACATTCCAGAATTGTTTATCGAGGTTTGCCTTGTGTTTTCCACATCGTTTTAAATTGATCGAAATATATTTCATTGCTTTCAGCGCCTGTGAAAATCATTCGTGCACCCATCGCGTTTCTCACCGTATTTTCCGGAGTCACCTGAAAAATATGCATTGATTCAGATTTTGACTTACCGTATTTCTTCGAATAGGAAACCGGGCAAAGAGTATCATCGCGTACTCCTGCGTAGCAGCCCTTTTTAAAATTTCTTTTCTGCATAAAAGCTTTCAATGAAGTGCTATAGAGCTGGAAAATGGCTCAAAAATCTGTTATGCTCATGTGGTATTTTTGAGTCATTTTCCAGCCCTATAGCACTTCATTGAAAGCTTTTATGCAGAAAAGAAATTTTAAAAAGGGCTGCTACGCAGGAGTACGCGATGATACTCTTTACCCGGTCTCCTATTCGAAGAAATACGGTAACAATAAATTTCTTAATCTACTTGCAGAAGATTATCTTTAGAAAAAGAATCACCTCTTTTCTCCTTCTCAGAATATTAAGCAATTGATTTCGTAGCTTACGTTCTGCCAAAATAGTTAAAAGCATTTGAATAAGAGTCTGAAAAGAAATTTTTGTAAAATCTGATTGAAATTTACTTGATATTGAAGCAAATAGAAGAAAATGAAGGTAGAAAATGTTTGGATATAAGTATTTCGATCAACAGCAAACTCGTACCACAACATGCAACCGATACTCGTCATGCACTTGAATTGTTAAGTTTAAAAGTGTTTTTGTTTGTTCACCAACTTTGTAAGGAGCCAAATACAACAGTAATCTTGAAGATTTATAATTTTCTTGAGTACGATATCTGGAAAATGATCTTATAAAGTAAAAATTTGAAAAAATTACCTGTCCTCAACAGTCGAATACTTTTTCTGATAAACTATTACAAATTTCTTTTTACAAGCAACATATAAACCGATGAAGAACTGAAAGAAAGTATTGGGTTGTCCAGTTATGAATGCGCGTTTTTTACTATTCTGTAAATTTCTCAAGATACCGAAAGCAAGAAAAAGATATATATGAGTATTATTCGAAAGCTGAAGATCTCCTCTACATTTTGATATAAAAAGCTTTTGAATTTGTTCAGCTTTTGGGCAAATTGACTGCACAGAAGAAGAGGTGGCCAAAAAATGGAAGGGTGCCTTTGGATCAAGTTTTGGCTCCGCTCAAATTGGGTTAACCGTTTGATGTTTGGCCAATAGATATATCAATCCAACTTTTTTTTTAAATATAACAAGTTCAGAGCATCTTTGCTTTTCTTTTCTTTTCTGGGCGGTTATTTTACACCATAAAACTTGAGGAATAGCTAAGCTGGAATGGGTTTTTTTTTCGAAAACGATCTCTCCCTTTGTGCAGTCAATTTCCCAAAAAGTTGAATGAATTCCAAAGCTTTTTATATCAAAATGTAGAGGAGATCTTCAGCTTTCGAATGATATATAACACTCATATACATCTGTTCGATATCTTGAGAAATTTGCAAAATAGTAAAAACGCGCATTTATAACTGGACAACCCAATAAATTTGAAATGAAATTCAAATGCTTATGAAGAACTGACCATGATTGTACAGAAATATGTGAGATGAATCACAGCAAAGACTTGCCATCCACCTAGATAATCACTGTATATCAACCAAGCCTCAATGGCGGCACCAAATGCCTAAAAATTAATGAGTTAATGGAATAATTAACATTTAACCTTACCACATTGAAAACCATAATTAATCCAAGGCGATTTGTTGGAAATCTTTCTTCATAATCCTCCAGATATTTCAGAGAAATCGATCGCTCAATCGCATAGCCAAAAGTCATTTGAAGTGAGAGACCGGTGCCTAAATGAAGAGAAATACAATGATTGTTAAAGAAAATTTGCAACCTTTTTTTAAAAAACTCTGGATTAGCGCTTTAAAGCTTTAAAACTACCGTTCTAGGTATAAAAGAAAGCACAAAATTTCATTCTTTTTGCTTATTTCTGCACTCACAAACTCAGCTTATCAGAAATAAGCAAAAAGAATGAAATAAAATAAAGAACAAGAATGAAAGAATATAATTGCGTGCTTTTTTTATACCGGCAGATTAGGACGGTAGTTTTATCACATTTTAAAGCGCTAATCCAGGATTTTCTCGGAAAAAGGTCGCAAGTGTTAAAGAGTTTTGGTTATATAATTTGCTTAACACATTCACGACGATACTAATGAATGTACTAATGATTATTTTCTGTGTTAACTGAGGCTTTTAAGGGCTTTTGTTCGCAGAGAGTTCTTGGTAACTTTGTATTAGTTTTCAAGAGGAGATTTACGGCTATCGAATGACTATAATAGTTTCTTTATCTTTAACAATTAACGACTACGCAACTGTACGCTCAAAATGCCACAAAATGGAGGGTGGGACAAATGCTACCTTTTTTGCGCACCTGGACATTTGCGCATCTTTTTTTTTGCTGGAAAAGGCCTTAGGAAAGGTCGTAGAGCTTCAAAAATGTTTTCATAGAAGGGAATCGTATGCGTAGATTCCGAATTTCGACAAATCAGACCTCGCTGACACGTCAAATTTGGGTTAAAAGGCAAAAACTACGCAACTTAACGCTTTTCCGCAGCTTTCCGCAAAAGGTAGCATTTGTCCCACCCCCGTTAACTGAAGCTTTTAAGGGCTTTTGTTCGCAGAGAGTTCTTGGTAACTTTGTATTAGTTTTCAAGAGGAGATTCACGGCTCTCGAATGACTATAATAGTTGCTTTTATCTTTAATAATTAACGACTACGCGACTGTACGCTCAAAATGCCGCAAAATGTGTTAAACGATTAACTTGCTATTTTACTATGTAAACGTCATGTGAAAATGAGAGATTCAACTTACACGATTCTGCAACAAATGAAAACAATTGATATCTTTCTGGTGTGATGAGATGAAACAATTCCAAAGCATGTCTTGTTACTCAAATAATTGTTGAAATCGTCATTCCAATTGGCTGTGAGAGCATTAGAGTGGTGAGATTTGGATGGCAAATCTAGATTTGTTTATTTCAAAATGATTTCATCATAAAGTTTCTCGATTACTAAACTATTAAGCTTTATTTCAGTACTAAAATTGAAGTTGCATTAAAAGTTTGAAATACACAAAACACAGTTTCAATCATTGTGTTCTTTAAACAAAGCTTTCTTTAAACAAACATTTTCTTTCTTTTTCATGAATTGTTAGACTACATTCACACGAAAGTCAATCGAGTCTAGGTTCAAGAAAGCGGAAAGTTTTTCAAATATAAAAACCCACCCTTTGGGCCGTAAACAAATAATAATAGATAAGAAGTGATGGGATCATGATGAAAAGATTCACCGTTTCGACAATCTAAACAATCGTGTTTCTTCAGTCTTGATAGAACTCAGCCCTGTTCACTCACTCTTGATAGAACAATCTTGGTTCTATCAAGAATGAGTCTATAAAAGTTGTTGCTCTTCTTAAATTTGCTACATTTATCCTTTATCTATCTTTAATTTTTACTAATAGACAAGAAGTGATGGGATCATGATGAAAAGATTCACCGTTTCGACAATTTACTTGGTTCTTCAGTCTTGATAGCGAACAGGACTGCCTCAGTCCTGCTCACTCAATCTTGCTAGAACAATCTTGGTTCTATCAAGACTGAGTCTATCAAAGTTGTTGCTCTTCTTAAATTTGATTACATTTATCCTTTATCTATCTTTACTCTTTACTTTTTAACTTCAAATAAAAATATAAGTCAAACTGTGACACAAAAAAGGGTTTACCTTCATTTTATCGAAGTACTCCTCCAAGTAAGAAGGCCTAATATAGGCTCCATGAGTTGAATTCGGCAAAATGAAACTAAATAAGAAAAAAATAAAAGGTATTTATTATGGTTAAACTAGGTTTAGATTTAGTTTAAAGCTTTGAGAACTTGAAGTCTTTGCTGTGATTCATCTCACATATTTCTGTACAATCATGGTCAGTTCTTCATAATGAATGAATTTCATTTCAAATTGACTTTCTTTCAGTTCTTCATCGGTTTATATGTTGCTTGTAAAAAGAAATTTGTAATAGTTTATCAGAAAAGACACGATAATTGATTTCATTTTGTTGAAAACTTACTTCATTTCATCAGAATAAAGCTCACAATCAGCATTTCATAATTCACTAAAATAGATTTCCCAGATTCAATCAAAAAACCCGCAAATCTAAAAGTTGAAAAAGGGAAATGGTACTTTCAAGAAATGGATCAATTTGCGGCACTAATAATATTGGGAAAAAGTTGGGCAAAGAACAGGGATTATCAAAAACAATGGAAATCCCTTATTCATCATGAAAACTGAAAATCTTGTTGAAAATCAAGAAATCTTTTTGTTTAAAAAAGCAATTTGTATCTTTTAAAGTCTAGTGAGTTCATTAAAATGTGTGAGAGTTTTCTGGAAAAGAGCGAGTGATTTAAAGGATCACGGAAGGAAGTTTTGAGAAAGAATGAAGCAGAGAAAAGTGGGGGTTACAGTGATGAAATAGAGTCTAGTATTTTGGGAAGTGGGAAGTATTTTGAGGAGAATTTGAGATAGAAGAATGAGCCATTTGTTTCCTTGGAACTAGTAGAACTTTAGTATCAATTCTGTTTTTAGGCTGAGCTTGTTTAGAGGGTTGCCCACACAAAAGTTCAAAAGACTGTTTGTGGATGTCATTTCAAAATCGATTCGACTAATCAATCATCCTTAAAACTATCATTAGATTCAAAAATTTATATATTTTTACCTTAGGAAAGACATTTGCACAACAAAATTTTAAAAAAGGCAATTTTTAAGTTGCTGTTCTTTTAGGATTTAGTCCAAATTATCTCTAAATTCAAAAAACAAATAAAGTTTTAACAACATTTGTTTTGACTATTTTTAGAGCTAAGATTTAGCTGCTGAACAAGCATTAAATGAAATTGATATCTTAAAAACAAAAGATTTTCAAGCAATTCTACGGAGAGCTCACAAAATTGAGAAAAATGATAAAAAAGTTTCTAATTGATTTATTGCTATTGTTCTATTGCTGTTGCTATTGTTCTAGTGCTCTATTTTTTTTATCTAACTACCTAGTGCTCAATTTTTGTTATACAAATGAGTTTGAAACTGAAAAATACTTCGATTTTCTGAATCCAATGTTAAAAAATGTTAATTGGATCACTTCTAAAATGGCCACTCAAAAACAGGAACTTTATGGCACTGCGACCGTTACCCCTATTACCCTTATTACCCAAATCTTGTGAAAGAAAAAACTCACTTGATGGGAACTTTTGTGTCACCCTGGAATCTGATCCAGGAATAACACTAATTTAAATCTAACTGGATGACTATGGGCCGACCGGTTAGGAGTCTTGTCTCTTAAGCGAAAGGTCGAGGATTCAATCACGCTGGAAAGATCAAAAGAACTTTCTTTTTCCCACCAAGTGAGTTTTTTCTTTCACAAGATTTGGGTAATAAGGGTAATAGGGGTAACAGTTCAATCACGCTGGCAAGATCAGAAAACTCTATTTTTACGCCTACTCTATTTTTACTTAATCAGTGCCATAAAATGTTGTGTTTAGACCTTTATGTCTTATTATGTATTCTTTGTTTGTGTCACATTATTGGTTTTCAATAAATGCATTTTTAAACACTAGTCATCTAGGCAAAATCCTTTCATAATAAAGTAAAAAAATTTAGACATATTGTTGAACAAATGAGAAAATGATCATTGTAAAATTTTTGAATAGCACTGATTAAGTAAAAATAGAGTAGCCGGGAAGTAATGTGGTCTCATTTGGATATTCAGGTGAGTGAGAAAGAAAACGAATTAGTAGATTTGATAATCATTTTGATGAAAGATATCTTAAGTGCTTTTGAGCAAGTGGAATGAACTGGAAAACTTCAGAAAATAAAATTACATTTAGGAGTGAGTCAGAGACAATGACTGGAAAAGGTTTAACTTTAAGCCGAAAAGATCAAAGCTTTGCAAAGTTGAGCTTACCAAGCTTACGATCTTGAGAAAGATTTAACAGTTCTTTTTCCTAATGAAATAAACTTTACCTCTAAACTGAAGTCTTTGTTTCGACTTTGATCTAAAATTCTTTTCAATTTTAACTTGGAATTTTGTTCACTCAACAAATTTGAAAAGTGATCTTTGGAACTTCTTTTCGTAGTGTTATTTACATGAAAAGATGTCTGATAAATTACGGGTTTCACAATAGGAAAAAGCCGTTTTTTCTCTACGGAACAATTCGTGCGAAAATGAGGCGAAATTTGTGTTTTGGATTCAAGAATATGAGTGGCAAGGTGCGGAAAAAAGTTGGAAAAGTTTCGACTATCACAAAGTTTTGGGAAAAGTGGTCAAAGTCAAAACAAATCCATACCTATATAGCTTGTAATTCTTGACTAGACTGTAACTCTTGATTTCAGTGCTTCTAAAAGCTACATCAGAGTTCTCTTGGCAATTTGGATGGTCAAGAATCAGTTTTATTTTGTTCAAAAGCCTCCGTTGGTATTTGCAATTTTCTAGCAGTACTTCAATTTACACAAAAATGTTATAAAATTGTATAATGATTTTAAACTAATTATATTATTTTTGATTTTTATAAATTGTTAAGAACTGCCTATCAAACAAGAGAGATTATTTTCAGAGAGAAGATCCTCCTCATTGCGTCTGCTGTATGTTAGAGTGTCATGTTTTGAGAACAAAAAGAAAAACTATGAAGAAATCGAAACTGTTTGCCGTAGAAAGCGCTCTGATATATCTAGTTTGCGATTTCAATTTTCAGAAGTGCTCACCATTACTGTTTTTGAAAGGATTGTCAAATGAGAAAATCCTCAAAAGATCTTTTCTTGTCTTCATATTCTCCAGAGAGACCTGATTGACAGAGAGCGTTAAATGTAGGATGAGATTTTTAATCTTTATTCTTTTACTGTCAGCTAGCGAATTTCCCGTTCGATAGTCAAATTTGTTTGGTTCGGTTTATGACAAATTCCTATGATGTCGGTCAGTAAATGGGTCAACTGTTGAGTTTTGATGTCAACAATAGAAGCGTTTGTGTTTTTTTTTCTGCAATAGCTAGATAGTTCTTTGGAATTTGAGTCCAGTGGCACGATTGATTCTTTTTAAAGATGAACCAAGTACTAGACATGGGCCAATTCCAACCTGAACCTAATTCCATCTTCGTTTTCTCAGCCGGTTACTCTAAAATTTTGTCTACAAGCTGAAAATGTCGATTTCTACCTGTAGACAAAATTTCAGAGCAATCGGCGAAGAAAACGATGGTGGAATTAGGTTTGGGTTGAAATTTTTCAATGTCTATTAAGTACAGAAGCTGAGCTGATCAGTCATTTTGGACATGAGACAAGTTAAGAACTCCAAAAGTATACACACTTACTAAGCATGCAAGTTTCAAACAAAAAAACTTAGAGCACAGCCGAATGGTATGCAACAGAGATCAGTTATGCCCTTGTTTACGACACTCAACAACTAAATCCATTTGAAGCAGTGAGTTGATCGACTTTAGCAATTCAATCGAATTTTCAGATTGTTTACGGGATTCATTTAAAAAGTGTCCCTCAATTCTACATCTTTGTGATTCTTATCCCTTGTTTCACTTTTTCTATTCTATCAATAATCGGCATGTTTTGGACTGTTTCTATGTTCAAATTCTAATCCATCTCTACGCCATTGGAAAGACGATCTGATGCGGGAAATGGCTTCTTCACAAGTTAAGCAGTGCAAACAAGGCTTCACGGGTCGCTATTACCGAAATCCTCATCCACCACGCTAAAGATCATGGCTTTTTTGATTCGGCATGTTTTCTTCAAGCACATCAAATGGAAAAAGTATGATTAAGAAGAGAAATTTTGCATGTAAAACAAGTCTTAAACCCTAGCTAACAATCGACTTGACAAGTTTGATGTCGATGACTGTTCTCTTAGATATTATCCCTACCTTTATTCCAAAAAACAAATGTCTTTCCCTTGTTAGGTCTGGAGATTTAAAGAAAGTCAAAGAAATTTTACAAATTCAGGTATTTATGTAATGATTTGTGTGTTTATTACCGGTTTTTCGTGTATTTTATTAGTGATTATGTCAATAAATGAGGATGACAAAAAAGAAAAAAAGGTTATTCTATCGAGTAACGAATTAGATTATCTATTCAAGTATAGAAAAACTAAAAAAATTCCAGAAAAGGCCGACCATGGAAGAAAATAATTTTATCGAAGATTACTCAACGCCATTTTGTCGTTCATTGACTTTTCCAGCTAGCGAATCTTGTCAATTTTGTTGTAATAATGTTATTTTGGAATTGAAATGGAGAGGCAATGGATAAAGATTTTATTTCCATTTCCAATGAAAAGTAAAACATATTAGAATGCTTTATTTATATAACTTCAATGCCAAAACGATAAGAACACAATAAAACAGAGAAGATTGAGAGATTGGAAGAAAAATTGGGCGAAGACGTGTCGCTGAAGGAGCTGCTCTTTGAGTCGATGAAGAAATCGTTGAGTTCTATAAAGATATCATCTTTACTACTTTACTATCATGTTTTACTTTGTTCGTAGCTCATCTTCTTTCTTTTCTCTTAATATTTCTTCTTGAGTTTTCTTTTTCGGATTGGGAATGCATTGGAAAACGACAGTGACACAAGCCAAGCTTGTGATACCAACACAGAGAACAACGTAGATTCCTGTAATGGGATTGTTTAAAAGTATGAATGGAAAGTGGTTATTTTTAGTTACTTTATGAATTTAAAAACTATAGGTTCAGCCAATTTCTTTGCAGAGGTTTTTACAATAAAAAAAACACGTTTATCACGTTTATTTGCTTTTAAGTGAACCGAAATTGAACAATAAACACTTTTTATTTAAAGAAAATCATAGGTTAGGTAGTGAATTTATTATTTTTTAATGAAAAGGAATAAAAAGACTTTCTGGATAGTCTAAGAGATCAAAACCAACCTAACAATGGAAAAACGGAAGTCTTCGGAATGGCACCAGATAGCATATCCATTAAAACGGTCATTGAGACAAGACTTGTCAAACCAATACTTAGCTAAAAATAGAATAGTTGAATTTTTGAGTTTCCAAGAGTTCCCCCAAGTTTCCAACTCTTGTAAGTTGCTCCTTTTTGATGAGTGGAGACCAAAACATTCCAACAATGGCAAGTAGAGTTAGAATGAAACAAGGAAGAGCGATCACGTAGACATAATAGTTGGGCACACGTTTCAAGCAGACTATTGGTGATAGCTGAAGAGTTGAAATCTCTTTCATCTTCGCTCTTACCAGTGTCAAAGTTGATCCACTAACGATTTGATACGGAACCATGTCCACATTTGTCACCTCCCATTCACCATTTCCCTAAATTCTTTCGATTTCATATGATTTCAAGTTTATTACCGGTTGTAAAATATTAAAGTTATCAACGCTTCCTGTCATTGTTGAATATTTGCTGAATCTGTTCTGAATAAGGCCATAAACAATAGATTTCTTACATATCCAAAGCCAGCGCTGCAATCGGTATTGCACAAGTTTGATTGTCAAAGGGAAATTTGGTGATCTGAACTTAAAACGGTAATGGTTTAGCTAAAAACTCGAACATTGACGGGACAAGCCACTTCTGAATAGTAAACCATTGGAAGAGTGACTGTTCCGTTACTCAAAAGCATGATTGTTCTCAATGAGTCTGGATGAACGGAGTCCATCGATTTGCTGGAAAAAGATTGGAATAAAAATGATTACAAAACAGTACGCATTTCCAATTTGATTATCAGGAGTCCAAATAGAATCTGTTGTAACAAAGAGTATTCCAGTGTTGTTGAACTTTTTTGGATTCCAGGCAAGTCTCGGATCTCGCCAACTCTAATCATTACTTCTTTTCATTATCCATTCAAAACTTACCAATTCTAATTCCCAGCATAGACTTAGAATTTGACTCTCGGCATCCTAAAGATCAAGATTTACCCTTTCAAGTCCTTTAACTTAAAATATCTCACCAAATTGAAAACTTTCAAATACCGTAGGATCATATTCACATTCAAACGGGATACATTACTGGCTGCAATTTTTGAAAATCAAAAGAACAATGAGAACAAACCCATTAAATCGTCAGTCATCTTTCCATAGATTGGTGCCAAGAATTTGTTGTAATTTCTTTTATTGAATATCTCTTGATAAATAGCAGTAGCATCGTTCATGTAGTCAGAGTACTCTTCTGTAAAATTTTCAAACGTTTGAATTCAAGATCAGACCTTACTTGGCTCTCCATTTTCTGTGTAGTCAAATTGAGCGAAAGTTAAACCAATAAATAAGTGTAAAACAATGGAAACGATCATATTTTTATCAAAATAACAAAATCTAGAGCAACTATTGGAAGCAAAGTGCAGTTTATAGGGGCCACTTGGCTCCCCCTCAAAAAGCAGGCTTTTAACCTCTTTTTGGCTTGATCTCTTGAAATTTGAGATCGAGAAAGCGGTTTTTCAAGGGTTTACTAAGAAATTCTTTAAAACGAACTGTGAACGAATTGTTAGTTAGATAAGTGTATTGAATTTAATGTTGAAATGTTCAAGGCTATGTTTTTCTAAAGAATAAGCTCTCAAATATTAAGAATATATTAGGTTGAAATTTCGTTTGCGTTTCTCTTTATGGATTTTAACACTGTGGATACTATTACCACCGCAGTCTCTTCTGTTTTAAAGATATAATTATTGTGCTTTATTACGCGTCTTTTCTTTATTTCCAGTTGAAGAATTTTAATAAAAGAATCTTATAGATGCTAGACGACCTCAAAATATCGACTTCGCATTTGTTGCTGTACGATTTCAAACATGAAAAAAAGCAACTGAATCGCATGAATCACTTTGTAACGTATTTGAGAAAGATGTTATCACTGTTCATCAATATCAAAACTGGTTCAAAAGATTTCGAAAGGGTGACGAAAATCTGGAAGATCTGGGATGAGGACAAACAACGATTTGAGGCAGATAATCGAAAGTGATCCGATAAAGACTACATGGGAACTTGCGGAATATTTTAATTGTGATCATAAAACAACCGAAAACCATTTGCATGAATTGGGCAGTTTATTTTTACGAATAAATTTTGTCGTTGCTCAAAAACGAAATTTCAATGTCGCCAACCTAATATTTATTTATTCATTAATCAATAAATCAAAAGCACTTGTTCTATTTATACGGCAAAGCATGGATGCCCTTCTCCCAGAACGTGAGTTTGGCGAGCAAAAAAGTCGACATTTCTCGACTTCTCTTTCATCATTCAATTCAAAGAACGTTTTCGGAAAAAGATAAAAATCAGAAGGAAACTGGGGAACAGCCAAAGTGGATTTAGGGACTATTTCATTTTCTTTTGTAAAAACTCGAAACTGAAATCGAAATCAGTGTGAAAACTTTACAAAATGATTTATGATTCATCCCAAAAAGTCATCTTGACCTCATGCCTTTTCCTAATGAGTTAAGAGACAAAACTAACAAAACAAACAAAACAAAAAGAGTTAAGAGACAAAACAAAACCAGTTGTGCTTTATTGTATCACTTTTATGACATGAATTTACTTAACTTTTTGAATCAAACTTTAAAGTACAAAAGTTTATCACAACCAGCGGTGATTAGTTGAATAGAGTGAAGTTTCATCATGATGGAACGCTTCAACCAACTAAAAAAAACCTCAATAATGTTTTAATTTTAACTGAATCACTCATTTTTGTCAAAAATGAAGATTTTAGTTTTAAAACTCACTTGTGCCTCGTCCCTTTTGGTAGTGACAATGGCGTGACCATCGCAAGTCACGGATCTCGATGTTACCGAGGTCAATTAACTGAAAAATGGACAAGGAGCTTTTTATTTGTTGTATATTATTTAGTTATTCCACTTTAGAATAGCTAAACGATATCAGAGGTTAGTTAGTTTTTAGACAAACAAGATTTAATAAACGAAAAGAGAAGAATGGTAAAGAAAGATTGCAGGAGAGGGGATTGAACCCTCAACTTGTTGCATTTCCGGGTAAACCACTGAGCTATCCAGTATCCGTTTGACAAAGAAGAAAGAGGAGATACAAGGGGAAAGAAAAAAAGAGAAGAAAAACATCAAACCTTTGCATCCCCGCTCGCGAAGTTGCTTTCCGACAACGGAAATTTTGATTCGCGTAGGCATCGCTAAAGCGAGTGCATTAGATGCTTAGCAACAAAATAAAAATTGGTTAATCTTACATTTATTTTGCAGTCGGTGTAAATGGCAAGCTTCGGCTCGACAACAGGCCAATTAAACCATCGACTCGACCACGATAACTCGAATTGACCATTTGCCTCGGAGCGAACATCTTTCAGGGTCGCCCTTGTCACTGAAAAATAGAGTTCTTTTGCAAATCTATAGAAATTTTAGGAAAAATTTTAACCAATCAATTTCATTTTAGATTCTAATTGTTTAAAAGATAATTACTCTTAAACTCACAAAAATTTGAGCCACTTTTCAGATGAATAAGTCCGCTGATAGATTCTCCTGAGCAAAGTAAGCTTCCGGTAAGTCGAATCTTTTCATCACTTTTTGTAACTGATTGAATGGCAAATAGGAAAGCGATAAAGGATTTGGCTCTCATAGGCACAGATCTCAATTTTTTGGTGAGTAATGATTGTTGAGAGGGAAGTAAAGCTCAAATTTCGTTAACAGATAATCGATTGAGCTTAGGATGAGGGGAAGAGAGATCACAAGCAGCTCTTTTTCGAATGAGGTCATATGTTTTTGACTTTCATTGAGAATCTAAAGAATGACTAAAAAGATTCTTTGCGTTCATTTGTAGTGAAAAATGAAAGATCATTTTGTAACTTTAGCGCCATTTTATCACCTGCATTTCTGGTGAGAAATTTTCACTTTTCACTTTTCACAAGGGCACTTTTCGGTTATACCTCCGCCACCTCCACATTTCGGTTATACCTCCGCCACTCCAAAGTTTTAAAAAACGGTACTATGCGGTTAGCAGCTCCCATGCATCAAGGCATGTATTTGTGAATTTAGCCTATCCTGATTTCAATTCGGCAGAGGTTTTTGACGTTAAAGACCTCTGCCCAAGTGACATCAGGATAGGCTAAATTCACAACAGTCTGGGTGAATTTAGCCTAATGTCACTTGGGCAGAAGTCTTTAACGTCAGTAGCCTGCAAATCATCGATCCGGGTGATAAATTTCAAAATCTTGTCAAGGAGTGTCTTGGTACTCCGATTAGCCACTTCAGCAAGGGAATTGGTTGGCATTTGTTTGTTTGTTTGGTTGGCAGGGGTATAACTGAAAAGTACCAGAAATTTTATGAGACAGAACTATTTTTTGTGTTAGATTAAAGCCGTGACTTTATTTTTAAACGTTAAATCGAAATATTCTGATATGCCAAACCTTTAGAGCTCGTAAAATAGTGTTTTCGAATCTTTTTGGAATCTTAAACCGATCCGAGACCATGTCGACTTTTTACTATGGTTAAATGTGCTTCTTTTTTAAGCGAACAATTAGAAAACGCTAACAATCTTTGTACTGGTCGCTCTGACTAATTGTTTATTATTGCGATTCACTCTAATGTTTTTTCCGCTTGATAAAATTTCACCCCAAATTCCTCCTTATCAGTGAAGACGGTCCAAAATATTTTGGCACTTCACTTACAGAGCTCTTTTTCCGCATTCACATAGCTATAGTTGAACAATTTCCTAAATCGCTTCCTGAAATGAGTGTCTCAATATCCTCAACAAGTCAACGGAGTTGTCCAAAATGTTTGACGTCGTTTTGCGAAAAGTGTGGCTATCACGGATACGAGAATATCTACGAACGAGCGTCATTTTATGGTAAAATACTAATGTGTTAGAAATGATGACTCAAATTCAAACAAATCTAGCAAGAAACACTAGATTTGCGATCTAATCATCTAATAAAAAACACTTATTGCGATCTGGTAGAAATTTTGTCGGATCGGATCCGATGGATGGGCCAATCGGGTCGGATCCGATGAATAGGCGAATCGGACCGGATTCGATGGATAAGACGATCGGATCGGATCTGATGGTTGGGTCAATCAGATCGGCTCCGATCTGGATGGGCCAATCAGATCGGATCCGATGGATGGGTCGATCGGATCGGATCGATCCGATCCAATGATTTTGTCTTACACTTTTTGGAAAAAGCTAATAAGATTTAACATAATTACTGCTTGCTGAACAAACAAGCTTAAACGATGAATTGCTTTAAAAACGGCCATTTTCATTTCGAGAAGTTGTAAAGAATGAATTTTACGCCAGAAAGCCCCTTATGTAATCTTAAAGAGACTTGCATCAAGATATTTAGCCAATTCTATCTGAATATTCAATGCCGAGGCTATAAATTAGCAGTTTAATTTGCATTTAACTTTATGGCTTTAAAGCAATCCGATCTTTTCTATTGGATGGATCGGATCGGATCCGATCTGATGCAAGCTGATCTGATCGATCGGATCACGAGTCTACTGACCAAAGCTCAACCTAATTCCGATTCTGAATTGACCCTGAGATTGGGTTGATCTTCTGTAATCGACTATACTGAAGAAGATGCACTATTTTTTCTTTTTTTTCTCTCCTTTGTGACTCTGAACTTCGAGCTGTGGTTAGCTTTTTGTAAATTTCGTTAGAATTGTTTACACTGAAGAGGCAAGTATGCGAACTGCCCTTGTTGAGACTGTTCTGGAAGAAAAAGATTTCCAATTGATACAAAATCCTATCTGAAGGTAGTTTTTACTGTTCTACGGAATATTTAAGAATAATTACTGAAAACGTGTCGTTTAGAGAGTCGCTCTTCTCACTTCTCTTCTCCTTCACAAGCCCCATCATTTCTCCGTCCAATAGTGGCTCCACCCTCGCAATGTCCCCTACATTCTTGCGTTTGTGACTTTCATCAATCCAAGTCTTAAGTTAATGTCTATTGGTACTGATGTTATGTTTGAAATTTTAAATAGTTCTTTGAGAGTTCTTTGAGAATTCACTGTTTAGAAGTTACAAGAAACATGCTGGCCAAAGATGCGTCAAATGGAAAAGGTTTGATCAAAAAGTGATGTAAACCCTTTCACAATTTAGCTCTTTCTTTTTACATTTTCCACGACTTTTCTTGTGTGTTCAATTGTTGAATGGGGCTTTTTCAATCTGCCTACCCTAGGAAGGTTTGATGTTTTAGTCACAATTGCCTAGAGAAAACTTTGAGCCACCTATCCACTGGATTCAAAGTAGACGCGCACAGCTTGTTGCGCACCTTTTTCGACAACGGGATTCCTGTGTATTACTCGTTTCTTTGGCTGCTTGGTGTGTTCTCAATTCAATGCAAGAGTTGGCGTTGTTTGCTTGCAGTGATCGGAATCTTGGTGGGTGTAGTATCTATTCAAATTGCACTTGCCTATTGTGTAAAGCTAATCGCTCTTCAGTTTTAGTTACTCTTCTCCGTGCTTCAAGCCCTTCATCTGCTCTTTCATCTGCTCGGTGATCACTACTGGCAGGGAATGGTGCTGCTTTTGGGAATCGATCTCTCAATGATCGCTATCTTATTTCTAGTCAAAAAGCATTATCATTATATGAGACTATGTGAGAAATGTTATTGAAACATTTATCGTTTTTTCTTATCTTTCAAAATTGAATAAAGAATTGCATGTCTTCTGTTGAAAACCATTTAATCATTTAACAAAAGAAAGAAAAAGAAAAGGCACTTGAACCTTTAATATTCTCTATTTACTGGAATCTACAATTCACTGCTTGAATGGCTCACAAGGATTTTTCTTTTAAAAACATTAACTATGGAAAGATTTATCTTATCAGCAAAAGAATGGCGAGTAAGAAGTTTATCGAATCATTTTTCAGTTCATGAAGTGACTTCATCGATTGCTTGTCAAGGGTAATTTAAAAATCGTGAACCCGACTTCATACTCTCAAGAAAATCCAGGCATAAAATATTTTTAAACCCGTTTTAATGTTATTTTGCAGAAAAATAATTGGTTTTTCTAATGAAATCAACCGTAGTTTAATTGGTGCATTTGTTGGCTTGAAACGGCAGACGAAAAGGAACGAAAAGACTTATGCATCAACCTAATAGTTTACTCATTCAAAACGCAAAAACCATTTACTCATTCAACTCAAGAAAAAAAAGAAAAGGCACTTGAACCTTTAGTAGACGTTTTTTTATTTACTGGAATCTACAATTCACTGTTTGGTTTGAATGACTCACAAGACTTTTCGTTTAAAAACATTAAGTACGGAAAGATTTATCTTACCAGCAAAAGCAAAAGAAGTTTATCGAATCATTTTTCAGTTCATCAAGCGACTACATCGATTGTTCGTTGTCAAGGGTAATTTAAAAATCATGACTCTTCAGTAAATTTTTCATTGACTTGCGTGATTGGTGCAGTTTTTAGACTTACATAGGACGTCTTTTCCTAGACAACCTTGGAAATTTCCATTTTGAAAGCCTAAAGTTTTGCTCGAAGTCTCTTTCCAAAGCTTTTCTCCCAAAAACCGAAAGGATAAACTGAATAGAAGAATATAAGAGCATCTCTATCGGGTTTTTAAGCATAGCAATACTTATCTCAAGTGCTTTATAACCAGTAAAATATAGAAAAAAGGCTAGCTTGCAGTCAGCAGTAGTATTTCAGTATTTTTTTATTCCAACACCAATGATTTATTCAACAATGAAACCCCTGGCTTTTTCCCGTATTTCCCTAGTTAATGGGAAATGATAGGTCCTATAGTCCATGTAGTACATTTGCAAGAAAAGACGAAGGGTTTCTCGATTTGAGAGAATAGCTTGAAGCACTCGATCATGAGCACGACTCGACTTGCCTTTGGTGGACAGAGCGAAGATGATCTGAAAAACGAAAAGATTACTGGAAATTTCACCCCTTCGAATTAATAATGGGACTAACAATGTGCAACAAGAGGACCCCTCAATGATACTTGGGAGTTCCCTATTTTGGTGTCACTAAATGGGCCTAACCATGTGCAATTTGATGTTTAGATCCAAGCCAGTGTGGACAAGCTAAAGAGGTCTGTTCAAATTACAGTTTGTCAGAATTGCTTGACAACGAGCCTGTGCAAAATCGAATTCAAAAAAATCCACCGAATACCTTTAAAAGCTAAGTTTAAAATCTAAAAAAACTAGAGTAATCGTTGCTATTTAGCGCTAAATCGTGTCAATCAAGTCTACAGTTCGATATTTGGTACTTTTTGATTAGAGAAGACAAATTTCTACGTTTTCCTACATACGTTTTTCCTTGGGAATCAAAAATGATATTTTTGCTTTCGATTAAAATTGACTTTTACATGTAGATTTGAATTTTTCCCCCTTAATCAATAATAATGCTCAAGAAGTTCTTTTTGATTAGCGGGGATAAATTTCAATTCTAATTTGCAAGCAACTTGTCTCCCTAATCAAAAAGTACTTATTATTTATCAATAAATAGAAAGTTGTAAAACTCACCGGTCTCGAGACTCTCTCGGGCACTCCAGCTGATCGAAAAACACGTTTCACTTGTTTTGCGATTGCCCGTGGATTCCCATCTAATGATTTTTTGATACTTTTTTAATATCCGCGGGGATGCCAAAAGCTTTGACTTGTTAAATCGTTTTAACCCAACTAGGTCTACCAGGTTTAGGTTATTCTGTTAGAGAATGGTCTGCGCTATCCAATAAAACCAAAACCATCCCAAGAAGGTTAGTTTTTGAGTCTAAAACGAGGTCGAAAATCGCGGAAATTGGCATCCCCTCGTGTTCCACAATTTTTACACGATCTTTTCTTGATTGACAATCAAGAAAAGGTGGTGTAAAAAACCGAAAACCTTTTAAAAACAAAAAAACTAAAGAATAAAATTTATTCTTTGGACAATGTGTAACAGTTTTGTTTGGTTCTTTTCAAAGGTATTGCCCATGGAGCCAATACAAATTTGTAGACGTATCAGGAATGCGTCAACCGTGGCGAGAAGATATTGGCTCGTCGCTCGAGCTGTCCCATGAAGTGATTTCTTCAACAAATCCAAGTTAGAAGCTCTTGCACCAGCTTTTAACTCTAAGAAACTCCGCACAGAGTAATCTATCGGATTGAGATCCGGAGATGAGGCTGGCCATAGATTAAAGCTGATGAAGTCGGGGAATTTGCAGCCACAGCACTCTTGGACAGTTTTTGCTTTATGAACCGGCGCTTCATCCTGCTGAAAGCACCAAATTCTGTTTCCAAAATGATTCCCATGGTTAAAGCTCGTTCTTCAAAATATGAAGATAATTCTGTGCATTAACTTTAATTTCTTGTGGCATAAAGATCAAAGGTGTCTTTCCATCAGCTGTTATGCCAAAACCATTAAAGACTCTTAGAGTTCCGTACAATACTGCTGAAGCTCCTTTGCTGTCTCCCCTCTTCTTTTTAGCTGCATTGGTGAGAAGTTGACCTTTCCCAAACTGTATGTTTGTCTTTTAAGTGCTTCATCAAGGTTCTACCCATGGAGCTCTTCGAAACATTCATTTCCAGCCATCTTGTTAACGGAGCGACGTGGGTTCAAACGGACTTGATAATGGCTTTGTTGATCACCGTATGCTTTCTCTCTCGTCCCCGACGATCTGAAGTGGTTCCCAATTCCTTGAACATTGTAAAATACATAAGTAAAAAGGGCTCAAAATAAAAAATCTAGCTAGATACTATCACGCTCACTGGTTACCGTATTTGTGGGACACCCTGTATACTTTCATACCAATCAAATGCAAAATCTTCCTCGACCCATCACGACAAAACCAAGATTGAGGAGAGATATGATGACGAATGAAACGCTTATTGTACAAGCCGAGACCGAGATTTATCCTGAATGAATATTGTATTTAGGTCAAACGAAGAACAACCAACCCCTCGTTTTTCAACAATCGATAGGCTGTCCGGGTGAATCGGTGAATGGTTTGACCGTGTCGGCCACATTTGTGACTATGTCTGAAATGATCAGGTTCCGGTTAGGTTCTCATTCAACTCCGATTAGGTTTCGATTAGGTTGCAATTTATTTGGCTAACAAGCCGCAAGAAATGTGTTAGACTGATTTATAACAAGGAACGGATAGGGCTGGACAACAAGTTTCGATTCCAATGACATCAAGTCCCGGTGTGGATTTCGTGTTTTTAAATTTGATCCTCAATTTGATATTTGACCCAAATAGGGGCAACTAGAGCAAAACTGACGACTGTGTTTGGTTCTTTAAGATCCGTGAGTAAGGTTCTAAATTACTCTCCCCGGGCTACACTTTTACACCGCCTGACCGCCATCGTTCTCTCTCAAAATTCGTCCCCCTTTTTGACTGACTGAATCTAAAGGCAAAAGGGCGATGGTGAGGTGGAGGTTATCTTATTTAATAAATGTTTCTAAAGAAATGGATCATTGCTAACTAGGGAAAGGCACGAAGTACTCGTGAGCTTCCGGACCACACACATTTTATTAAATCGAGTAATGGATAATGGAAATTTCGGAGATAAGCTTCAAGGGGCGCTTTCCAATCACTAGTAAATGGGTGCCGGTCGCCTAATGGATAGTGGCACGTAAGTAAGATCGGGGTTCGGGCCTTTCTCGGTTCTTGCTCTTTTATCTTTAAATGTAATACTTTACAACGATCAAACGCGATCACGAAGCATCTAAAACGATAAAAATTTTCACAATGCGATCATCTATTAAAACCATTTTGGTCGATTCAATTTTTACACATTTACAAGCTTATTTGGCAAATTTTGATTCCAGATTGTGAATCTCCATGCTTGATTTAGGAAAATGTATGTGATCCGGAAACGAAAGACACGAGAATTTCTCCTAGGAATCTAGAGAAGACCCGGATCCAAATCTATAGTCAAAGGGAAATCTAGCCTCACCTCAACCGGCTCAAATAGATAAATTGAAAAGAACCGAGCCAGCCTATCCTCAGGCTTGATCTTCATTCAAAGCTTGTTTGCTTAAAAAGACATTTTAAGGCTCACTTGCACAAATGGAGATAAGCCGAAACGAAACGATGAAGGGGATCACGAGCGATCTTGAATCGAGTCGATCCTTGAAGGGAAGATGACCATTGTGGACCTCGAGCGATTGTTTCTCCCTCACATGAACTGGAAAAGGAGGAGCTTTCCACATAATAGCAAAGCTTAATATCATGCCCTTATTCAAATCATCCATCTTTATTGAATGCTCAATTTTATGACTAATATTATAGTTGGCAAAAGCAAAATTTTTAAGCAACTCACTTTAGATCATTGTACTTCGATCTAGATTCCCTAGTTTTTCTAGCCTGCCGTCCCCCTTGCGAGTGGAAGAGATCACACATCGCCGTCCGCATCTTTGTCGACATACATTTCGGAGTTGGACAATAGTCGAGACCGGACACTGGCTTCTAAATAGGGCATGAAAATTGTTACTATTAATTTTACTAAATTCTTACTATAATATTTTCTTTCTTTCCTATTTTTGTTTTTTTCCTATCTCCTTAAAGTCACTTTTATCAGCATTATGGGTAGCATTTAGTTTTTTTCCATTGAATTTTGTGGTTAAAAAAGTAAATATTTAAAAGTTGAAAGTTGATAAATGTTTATAGTTTTCCATTCTTTTTGGACTCTTGAAAAAAAGATAAAAATTCCCCTTACCCTTATCGGTTTATGGACTGGCTCGAATTCGACGATTCCACGTCGTAAGCTTGGTGACAATTGAAATGTGGAAATGGTGGAGAGGAAGGCGATCGTTGACAATAAAAGCCACCATTTCATTCTCTGTATAGAAAGAGAAGTATTCCAGAGACAACGAATAACAAAGAAAAATCATTTGGAGTCTGAATTTTCGGCTCTACGCTGATATTGACTTCCTTACAACACGGCCAAACTTTGGCCAAAGAATCTCAAAGAGGTCAAATCCTTTTTTGGTCAAAGTTTCACCATTTAGAAAAAGGCCGATACTATTGTAAAGTCAAAATTTCTTTTGAACAAAGCTTTTACTACTTTTTACATTGAATTTTCAAGTTCTAGGAAACGTTTTCAACTCTATAGAAACAAGAAAATAATGGAGCTGAAAAAGCGTGTCTGATAGCAAAAGATAATGGGCTCAAAGAAGATGATGGCTTTTTATATATGTGTTCCACTCAATTCGTTCCCAATTCATGAACAATGAAAAACGAGGACTTATGTCAATTAGTATTTTCTCTTTCTTGATTTCATTGCTTGGACGAAAATCCTGTTCCTGTTTAAGGGCTTATTTTTTGTCAAAAGTGGAGGAAGTGGACCGTGGAGTGGCGGTAATTGGAGAAATGGAGGGGATGCTAGTGGAATGAATGGAGTGGGGGGAAATGGTGGTGATGGTGGAAATGCTGGAATGATGCAATGGAATGCTTTCAGTGTTCTGCAAGGGGAAAGACGCGAAGATCGTTTCACAAATAAGCAAACGTTCAACCTCTGATCAGATGGGGAACAAGGTTCAGCCTCAATAAAGTCAAAAATTGGAAAAAAAAATAAAGTATTTCTCTTTTTGACAGCTTCTTTGCGAAAATTGGCAGAGTAGTTCATCATGTTTCTCTAAAAGTTTCATCATTTGAAAACAATTTCGAACCCGAGTAATCAAAAAACAGAAATACTGTAAACGCTCCGCTATGCAGAAGCTCCGTTAAAAGCTCCCATAGCCACCTTTGCCTCCATCACCGCCGCCACGAAAGCCATCACCACCATTGCCTCCATCACCACCATTACCAAAAATACCCCAGCCTCCACGTCTCCCGTTGCCGCCTTTGCCAAACATGCTGCTTCCACCATCACCACCATTTCCCCCATCACCGCCACTCCACAGTCCACTCCCTCCACTTTTGACAAGAAATAAGCCCTTAAACAGGAACAGGATTTTCCTCTAATGAAATGAAGAAAGAGAAGAGACTTATTGGCCAAATCCTCCTTTTTCATTGTTCATGAATTGGGAATGAATTGAGTGGATCATATATAAAAAAAGGCATCATCTTTTTTTGAGCCTATTCTCTTTTGCTATCAGCCACGTTTTTTCATTTTCATTATTTTTTTGTTTCTATAATAGCATCATAATATCATAGTAAGAAATAAAAAGCCCGATTTTAGAGTTGAAAGCGTGTCCTAGAACTTGAAAATTCAATCTAAAAATAGTAAAAGTTTTGTTCAAAACACTTCACAATAGTATCGATTTTTTTTTAAATGACGAAACTTTGACCAAACAAGAATTTGACCGATCCTTTTTTGAGAACGACTCTTTGGCCAAAGTTTGTTTTGTAAGGAGCTCAATAATAGTGTAAAGCGAAAAATTCAGATCTCTAAACGATTTGTCTTTGTTATTCGTTGTCTCTGGAATTCTTTTCTGTCTATACAGAGAATGAAGTGGTGTCTTTTATTGTCAATGATGGCCTTTCTCTCCACCATTTCCACATTTGAATTGTCACAAGGATTAGGACGTGGAATCGTCGAATTCGAGCCAGCCTCTACACCGAGAAGGGTAAGGGGGATTTGTATCTTTTTTCAAGAGTTCAAAAAGAATGGAAAGCTATAAACATTTATCAACTTTCAACTTTCAACTTTTAAATATTTACTTCTTTGACCACAAGATTCAATGGAAAGAAACTAGATGCTACCCATAATGCTGATAAAAGTGACTTTAAGGAGATAGGAAAAAAACAAAAATAGGAAAGAAAGAAAATATTATAGTAAGGATTTAGTAAAATTAATAGTAATACCCAAGTTTTATGCCCTATTTTGAAGCCAGTGTCCGGTCTCAACTATTGTCCAACGCCGAAATGTATGTCGACAAAGATGCGGACGGCGATGTGTGATCTCTTCCGCTCGCAAAGGGGACGGCAGGCTAGACAAACTAGGGAATCTGGATCGAAGCACAATAACAAGAAGTACAAGAATCTAAAATGAGTTGGTTGCTTTTTTGCTTTAGATTTTTAAGACAAAGATTTTTGCTTTCGCTAACTATAATCTTAGTCATAAAATTAAGCAGTCAATAAAGATGGATACTTTGATTAAGAGCATGATATTAAGCTTTATTATTATGTGGAAATCTGTGATCGATGAAAATCTCCTCCTTTTCCAGTTGATGTGAAGGAGCGACAATCGCTCGAGGTCATCGATGGTCATCTCCCCTTCGATTCATGATCACTCGTGATCCCCCTCATCGTTTCGTTTCGGCTTATCTCCATTTGTGCAAGTGAGACTTAAAATGTCTTTTTTAGCTAACAAGCTTTGTATGAAGATCAAGCGTGAGGATAGCCTGGCCCGGGTCTTTTCAATTTATCTATTTGAGCCGGTTGAGGTGAGGCTAGATTTCCCTTTGACTATAGATTTGGATCCGGGTCTTCTCTAGATTCCTAGGAGAAATTCTCGTGTCTTTCGTTTCCGGATCACATACATTTTCCTAAATCAAGCATGGAGATTCACAATCTGGAATCAAAATTTGCCAAATAAGCTTGTAAACGTGTAAAAATCGAATCGACCAAAATGCTTTTAATAGATGTTCGCATTGTGAAAATATTTATCGTTTTAGATGCTTCGTGATCGCGTTTCATATATGTTAACATTTCACCTTTTGGTTTGTTATATTGAATAGTTACAATGTAAAGTATTACATTTAAAGAAAAAATACCAAAAACCGAGAAAGACCCGAACCCCGATCTTATCTACGTGCCACTATCCATTAGGCGACCGGCACCAATTTACTAGTGATTAGAAAGCGCCCCTTAAAGCTTATCTGGGAAATTTCCATTATCCATTACTCGATTTAGTAAAATGTGTGTGGTCCGGAAGATCACGAGAAGTATATATTCAGACGTATCTATACTGCTGGACATAATTTTAAAGGCAGTCAAGTTTTGACGATTTTTTCGAAAATATTCAATATCCAATAAATTGTCTTTCATCCAATAAAATTGCCGATTTGCCCTCTAAAAATTGTAGATGCACAAAAGAAGATATAAAATGAAAAGATTTTAAGTGCGAAAGTAACTCATCAAGTAAAAATGCAAGAGAATTACTGCTTTAAGCGACCTTTATTTTTTTTATCGCGAGATGAAAAAACGAGATCTCATCGAATAAAATGGCTACAGAAAATTAGCTTTGAAACACAAAACTGATCGAGAAAAAACTCTTCTCTACTTTTGTGTTGCAAAAAGAGTGATACTCTGTTTAAGGTCAAAAACAGGATTCACTTAGAAACCGTGCTGAAACAGAAATTCTTGTTCTCTTTACTGCACTTGACTGTAGCAAACCTTTGGAAGCCCTAGTTTCGAAAAAAGAGAATTAATCACTATGTGTGAGCAGAGTTGTCCCGCGATTCAAAATGCTTTTCATGGTTGTACGTAGTTCTTCTGTTATTCTGTTTTAAAATGTACATTTTATTACATTTTTGTCGCATCAAAACATATTGTCAGCTTCCGTCTTTCCAGTTAAACATACTCCATCCTCCGCCACCGCCCGTACCATCACCGCTGCCAACGCCTCCATCACCACCATCACCGAAAACACTCCACCCTCCCTTCCCTCCATCGCCACCGTTGCTGCCATGGCCTCCATTACCGCCATCACCGAAAACACTCCATCCTCCATCTCCACCATCTCCACTACCGCCCATAGCTGCTAAAAGTTAGGAAAAGTGTTTTTTTTAAAAAAGCAGCTCACAGCTCACGAAATACACTGCTGGACATAATTTTAAAGGCAGTCGAATTTTTACGATCTTTTGAAAAATATTGAATATCCAAAAAAATTGTCTTTTAAACATCATTACTATCATAATTTTGCATCTTTAACTAGGAAAATCCAGGAGATGATAATTGGGACTTTTAAAGAGAAACCAAATTTATTCAAAAGAAAAACCAAATTTATTCATAATTTTACAGGCATTTGAAAAAAGGTTTTCGGGGTTGGGGAATTGATTGACAGTGTTATAAGAAAAACATTATAACTAAATTTCAAAAATTTGAAGTCTTTGGACTTTGAACGAAAACCCCGGGTGCAATTTTGTTTTGATTTGAAATTGGATGTTTTAAATTCAAAAAAGATTTCTGTGTGTTGCTGGTGTCAAAGCTGTTTTTTCTATGTCTCAATTTTTTGACCCCGAAAAGCCCGGGTGCAATTTCTCTGTTCAAAATTTTGATGTTTAAAATTCGAAAAAGAAGACCGCGGTGTGTTCCCTGTGGCCGAGCACAATCGCACTCGATCTGGCATACTTCGCTTGCAGATATCGTCCTTTTTTCACCGGGGCAATCGGAAGCGTCCATTTTGGGTCATCCGGTAACCAATCCGTTGTCTGCCCCATATGGTCACCGCTTCCCGAAAACTAACCTCGGCTGTAGAATTGGCAAACCCGATTCCGGCTCATTTTGGCCACAAAGATGGGTTCTCCGCCGGTCGAAATGGGATCCCAAGTGCCTGTAAAAGGGTGCCGAAGGGAGCCGCTGTGAATTTTTGGATTCATCCCAAGGATTTCGGTCCGCAGGGGCAGCAAAAATCATGAGACGAGCTTTGAGGTAACGGTTGATACTGACCGAGAAAAAACTCTTCACTCATTTTGCCACACAAAAATAGTGAAGAGTTTTTTCTCGGTCAGTTTTGTGTTTCAAAGCTAATTTTCTGTAGCCATTTTATTTTATTCGATGAGATCTTTTTTTTCATCTTTCATTTTTTTTCATTTATTTCATCCCACGATAAAAAATCAAGGTCGCTTGAAGCAGTAATTCTCTTGCATTTTTACTTGATTAATTTTTACTGAGCACTTAAGATCTTTTTATGTGGCCATAATATGGTGTTATCTAAGCCATATCCAGCGACAAGTCAACGGTTTTTCGCCTTGAACGGAGTATATAATGAGAGATGGAAATCTCTTTTCAAGCTCTAAGCAGCCGATTTTTTTATACCGTAATAGCTCTTTTAGTGGGGCTGGTAAAAAGTTAAGTCGCGTATTCATTGGATATTTTCGAGGCAAAACCTCAAGATACTCAGTGGACTCAACTTTTCACTCCTTCTACTAATAGAACATTTACAATATGTTCTTCATTTCAAGTTTAAAATCAATAGCACCCACATTTTAGAAAAATCATGGCCAACTGTGGAAATGGAGGCAATGGTGGGTGGAGTATCTTCGGAAATGGCGGAAATGGAGGCAATGGAAGCAATGACTGTCACATTGGTGACGTCTGGGAAGATGATGACCAAGGCCGTATTCTGTGGAAGTGAAAGAATCATAATGAATCAAACACCTCTAATCTCTTTATTTTTTTGTTCCTTTCACCTATATCTATGACATATTTTTCAATAAAACTTTTCGATACGGTTGCTTTTTACTCGCAAAAAACAGTGGAAAGGGAGTTTCTGCTTGAATAAAGAGGAAAATGGGGTAACAAGGCAAGTGTAACGAGGGAGGAGAAAAGTGGCAACGGAAGATCATTGTGCGAATCGTTGAAGCTCGAAAAGCCGAACCCAAAGTCAATGTGATTCAAAGTGGCTTCTTCGTTTCGAAGATGACACTTTGGGGGCTCTCCAAACAGATGAAAGAGCGTGGAAATGTGGACCGATTAAAGAAAAGAACTAAAAGCAAAAAAACTTCTTGAAAAGACCGGGCATTTCTTCGCCTCGGCTTCGGATTTTACAGCCACAGATTGGAAAAGTTACTTAAAAAGGGAATTTGGGATTAATGTAATTTCGCAAACGAAAGCGATTGAAATTTCTTGGGTCGTGTTTTTTTATTTTTTGTACATGAATCGTTCTTGTAAAGAGTCTATTTTCTGTTCAGTTCGTAATCAGTTCGTAAACAAAGAAAAAAGGTCATGGGGAATTCATTCACGTTTTCTTACTTGAAAATACGATTTATTGCTCGGGTTTGTTTTTTCCTGGCGCCATCTTAATATCAACCTCGAGCGCTTATCTTTTTCCGTTTGATCGTACGTTATCTTTTAAAATTGGGCTACATAAGCTCTGGGTAGTTGTTCACTCTGCTAACTTTTTGTTATTAGGGTGGCTTCTTTTACAACTCTTTGCACAATTTTCCGAGGGGAGATGGACAAATAACAAATCAGCTAACTCGCCGATTTGCCCTCTAAAAGTTGCACAAAAATACGCTCTGAAAATTGACCACCCTCTTTCTCGTGTCCTCTTTTTCTGTTCATTGTTATAATTAATAAAACTTCAGCAAACAATCATGGTTCACTGTGGAGATGGAGGCAATGGTGGGTGGAGTATCTTCGGAAATGGCGGAAATGGAGGCAATGGAAGCAATGACTGGAAAACTGGTAGAAGCTATACAGTGGTCCACAAAAGTAATGCCCCATTGCCATCCAACAGTATGTTTTGTAAGGAAATCTTGCAAAATCGACATTTCAGAAAAAGAGTAGGGTATTTGTACCGGCCCATAAGACTCGACTTTTCAAGAATATAAGATTTATCCGTATACGTTACATACAAATTAAAGTATAAAACAAAAATAATAAGATACTTGAAAATTAGCTCCACAAAAGTAATGCCCCATTTGCAAAGAATTAACACAATTTTTTAAAATCAATACTTGGTTGGTCCTCCTTTTGCTTTTATTACTGCATTGAGTCGATTCGGCATGGAATCCACGAGATTCTTCAAAAGACTTTGGGGGATGGTGGCCCAGAAACGTTGAATGTGAACCCATAAGGCAGCTTTCGAATCGAATTTCTTTCCCTTCACAAATGACCAGAGATGCTCGATAACATTGATATCCGGTGAGTAGGGAGGCGGATTGATCAATTTGACTCGACTTGCCGCAAACCAGCCCGGAAGTCGTGCTCGTGTACCATTTTGAAGGGTCACCACCGTTCCCATCATGAGCCTTGACTTGTATTTCGGGTCGTTGTCCTGGTAGAGCATCCATCCAGGAAGCATCGTCTGCGTGGCAAAAG